CGCGCGTAGCGAGGTAGTGCGGGTGGGTGGGCGAGGGGAGGGGGGCTGCTACGCTTGGCCATGGAACGGCGACTGTTCGCTTGGCCGGTGATAAATGGGCTAATCGACGCGATTAACAGGTTTAAACTTCCTTTAATTCACTTTTTCTCTCTTTAATCGCTAAAAACGCTTAACAACGGGACGAAAGGAGGGGGCGAGGAGCTTACGGGGCGGGGGATGAGGGGAGGAGGAGGGGGGAGGGGCTCGATAACGATTTCTTTTTTTTTCCTCCCGAAATACATCGCGAGCAAGCTCTTAAGTTTATTGCTTCTTCTAATCTAGGACTATCTCGTACGTACGACGACGCTCAGTGCCGAACCATTTCGCGAGCCAATCGTTGCGCGACTCGTCGCGTCGCTTCCTCCACGTCGAGGCCGCCGCCGCCGCTGACGACGACGACGATAACAGGTTGTCGACGGTGAAGGAGAAGCTCGAAGCGCGGCATTTAAATTATTTCTACAATTCAAATCCCCGAGCGCCGAAGACACATCACAGTAAAGTCCAGCTCTCTCTCTCTCTCTCTCTCTCTCCGTTTTCGTGAAATCTCTGATCGTTTAATTCTTATTCGGAATAGCGCGCGGCTGTAGACGGGCGAGATGCGACACGATAATGCTTCGTCGCCAACGAGACGTGGCTTTAATTAAATTTTGACAATATACAATAATCAAGTAGACGCTCTTCGCTGTATATATAACGATCGATACGAAAATAACAGAAAGCAATCGACGATTCTATATATTAAGCCGATGTTTATTCCTAACGCCTCATCAGACGCTTCCCTCTCCTTCCTTCTCTTTTTACTCCTCTTTTCTTCATCTTCTTGTTCTTTCTAATCCCCTCTACCGCTCTCACAGGCAGTACTAAGCTAATAATCCGCCGCTGAATAATATTTACAAGGGCGAGATTAATATTTTAGCTTCGGACTTTCCGTGTTGCAAGCAACGGCGGCGGCGGCGGCGAGGTCGACATCGGCAGCGATGAAAATACTAATTACTGACGTTTTGGCAGCCAATGTTCGCTCTAAGCGAATAGTAATTTGTTAGCTCTATTACGGGATGAGATGAATATACGCTGCTCTTTAGCACCTCGAACAATGCGCATGTCGGTCGGTCCAACCTCTTATCTCGACCACCCATCAATCCTATCACGATTTGCGGCACACCGATATTTCCCCTCCCTCTTTCCCTCCCCCCCCTCTCCCTGCGCGCTTTTTCTCTCTCCTCTTCGCATTTTTCCGGAGACGACGCGCGAGGAGTCCGTCGGTGGAGCTCAAGGAGAACCGGCTCGACATCGAAAGCGGGCGGGCAGTGGTTTCTTGATTAGTTGCGTTACACACGGTTTTTCTACGGGCCGATCGTCTCTTCTGCGCGTCCCTTCTTCCTTCATGCTTCCGCTTAAGCGGTCCATCGTCACTCGGAGGCACTTGGACAAATCGATTCCGGTGGAATGACGCGGGGCCGGAGAACTGTCTTCTCGAAGAGAGTACGGCTTATCGTATCCAGATAACGTCGCGCTCTCCGCCTTACAGCCAGCGTTGACAAGCGGCGGGACGCGGCGGCTACCACGAATCTTGCGTACACGCTTGCTCTCACGCTCAAGCGGCGCGCCAGTGTCACCGTCAGTATACGAATAGTCAACAACGCGAACAACGCGCGGCACACCTGATCCGACGGCCTCATTCTTCTTGACGCTTCGCTGCCTCCATCCCGATGTTCGTCTGCGAGTTACGTGGACGTCGACGGCGCTGACGAGATCTGTTCCGGTTGATAATACCTCAGACCGTTTATCTGTAATAAGAAGCGACCACCAAGTGGTTCGTGCGATATATAATAAATCAATTAGGCAATTAATTTTATCCGTATCCGCTGACTTCCGATCTAAGAGCCGCGTTCTTTGCGGAGAATTTGAAAGAGATGACGAAGCGCGGCAAATTTTGCGGACTTCGCCCGCGCAAAAATTCCCACCGATCGGGATACCGTCAATGGATATCACTGCGATGGATGCAATTTTAATTATTATATTTCTGTGTGCATCACAAAAATTAACTAGAATTGACGGTCTAGATCGAGGATGCAATTTTTGTGTTTACTGGTGTTTTCGATATCATTCTCTCTCCGAATGTAGAAAGAGAGAAAGAGAAATCGGCGTCTCTCTCTCTCTCTCTCTCTCTCTTTCTCTCTCGATTTCGGTTGAATATGCGCTCCGTCGCTTACCGTCATGTCGTATTCTGTGATGTACGCTGGAATCTCGAGCTGGTCAGGCGACATCACTTCGTACAGATACTCTACTCCGGGCAGATTGTGAACCTTCTGCTTGATGGCCGGCGCCATGAAGGTCGTGAACCACCACGTCATCATCTGCAACAAAGATGACCGATTGCGCCTCGTTTTTACCCCTTCTCGCAATTTTCTCCTTCTCGATCTAATCGATAAACCTGTCTCCCGGATGAAGCGAATTACAAGATCAGCGACCGATATTCACTCAAAGGATTGCAAGCAGAATCAGAGGAAACCCGATGTGATCGTCTCGAAGATAACCCGTCGCGTAGCATAAACGTGGGAAGTACAACAACATCGTTCACATTAACGGCATCTGTTTATGCATCTCGACAATGATTGCCGATTGCGAAATACGCGCAAAAGTGTTCTCTGTCGAGCTCGAGTTGTGATAATAATGTATCGTGCGCGCGCGATAGCGCTGCGTCACTGACCTTGGTCCAAAAGGTAGGATGAATAATGTAGAAATGCTTGAGGTTCTTCTTGTATCTGTAAAAGAAAGAAAATAAATTTGCCTCGGGAACTCGTGTCTGTGAGGGAAAGACACCCGTCTCAAGTTCGCTGTCGAATCTCGCATGCACGAGTAGAAACATTATCGATTATCTCATTAGAAACTAAGTCTCGTAGGTGTTTAGCTGTGAAGTAGTAAATTTGCGTCTAACACGTTGCTGTTAGCTAATAATGTAACATTCACTTCTCCTAGTAGTTAGATAATGGCTAGATAAGTAAGTTAGCTGATGGTTAAACAAAAGAAGTTACGGGATGAAAAACCATAATCAGTCGTCGGGCGGTAACGCTCACTTCTACTTTTTTGAGATTTTTATGGAATAACGAGGTATCCTCAATTTTTATCTTTTTATTTGCTACATTTGCCGCATTTTTAAATGGCAGGTATATTGCAGCTAGATTATAGTTCGATTTTGCAGATCGGAGACATCGGTTAGCTCTTAAGATTATTAACTTAAGATAATATCTAGCTAATAAGACGACTTTCCCGAAGCAAGCGATATTTCCGACTTACAGGTCAGCCGGTAACGAAGTATCAACCAGCTGGACAATTTAATCTAACTTATAACTAGCTGGCCGTTAACTTTCGGTTCTATTAGATATCGGCCGACGTTTCTACCCGGGGCGGTGAAGCGGCGCGACTTATCAGCAACGTTGTCGTTGACCGTCGTCGCGCTCTGCCGTGTGGAGACGTTGACACGCGAATCGATCGCAATTGAGGCGCAAAATCAATAGGCCTGATTCGAACGGGATCAACTTACTTGTAGGGAAGCACGTTGTAGACTTCGCGCAGCCAATGTAAACTGGGGTAATTGCTGCTGGCCGTAAGAGTGTGGAAATACGCGATCACGTAATCACCCTTCACAATAGGATCCAACAATTGTATGAGATATAGCAAGGCCTGTGGACATAAGGAAAACACAAGCGTTGAAACATACCGTATACACCGGGCGCGATGTTGATTTTTACTCGCACCGAATTGTCTTCGTTCCTGCCTCGTAAAATGGGAATATATATGTAAGCGGTAGCTCAGGAGAGCTCAGCTATGTACCTCCCTTTAAATCTCATTAGCGGTGTCCACATCGCGTAAAAATGCGGTGTCGAAGTAAACAAGGGAAACAGGGGTAAATATACATTCTAAGATAAACGCGGTGTAAATATTCCCAGGATCGATGAAAGCTCGGCAACGAGGTATCGCGCGCCGCGAAATGTGGTGACGTAGTTGAAAACTTGCGCGTGTATTTCCGGTCGGTTTTACTCCGGTGGTCGGACTGACGTCGCGATTTTCACGTTGCGATTTAACATCGTTCACCTTTCACCGGGTGAGACGCACGCTGAAAGTTCGAGGACGAGTACAATGTTTCGAGTTTCGTTGGGCGATCGATGACACCCCCACAGTGACACGAACGCGCGACGTGCAAGCTCGTGGCGGTAAGAAATTACACGGTAAGAACGGATCGCCTGGGATTAATCGCGCAAACCAAAGTGCATCTTTCAAGGGAGTGTCGGGTTCATCGATGACGGACTTGAGCATGTCAATAATGTAGAAACGAACCTCAAACTGTTATGTTACGTAACACTTGTACAATCGTACTATTCTTTTTGTATTTCTTGGATCTTACGTAAATATAAGTGCCGATATAATGAGAAGAATGTGTGTTATTCAGTTTTACCGTATCTAACAGGAAATCCGATTAACAATGCGAGATTACGAGGTGATACCCACCAATTTTAATAGTAATATTGTTTGTGCGGATAAGCTTCGATAAGGACCTTTATTGAGCAAAGGGAGAAAGCGCGATTCTCAAGCATTTTCGAGAAAATCGAAAAAAAAAAAATTATAAAGTCCCTCGGCGAACCCCCCCCCCCCTTGTAAAATGTATAAAAACTTTTCTGCAAAAATTTTCGTTTTTATTCGTAAGTAATTGTAAGTCATATTTTAAATATAAAATAATAATTGTTAGGCATTAGAAATTAAAGAAATCCATATTCTTTTAAATATTTCCTTACGTGACATATTTGGGTGATATATTTGAGTATATTTGGTTATGTGTTAATATACATTTGGATGAATGCACAGTCTGTGCATTATTAAGTTATGTAGTAAATACAGACACTTAAAATGACCAAAGAAATTTTAATTATTATTGCACTTCAGTTTAAAGTATAAGCGCACAGAATATATGAGTATATGCACAAATAAGCATCACATGTCTCGCAGTAACAATAAATAAAAGTAATGTACACTTTCTGCGCTTATTTATTATGCTACGTCGCAAATTAGAGAATGGAGAAAAAATTGTCGAATACACGGACTTTATGTAATTTTTTCCGTAGAATTCAATGGCGCTGTCAATTTTCTCGGTAACTCGCAGTTTCAAATTAATTGTTTAAACAGCAATTATTTAAACAATTGGAAGATTTAATTTTTTTTTTCGTAAAAAATCATCTCTCGATTAAATGCTCTCATCCCAACATTAACTTTTCTGCTATGTCGATCGGTCCGCTCATGAGCTTTAATGAGCGATGCGATTTCGGAAATCTGTTCGATTTTGAACTTTATCGAACGAATATATCTCACGACATACGACGTCAAATCGACGAAAGTTGTCACATCAATATTCGCGTATGTTTGCATAATTTTTACGTGCGTGTATCTACGCGCTATCGGAGCGTATACTATTCGATTAGTATTTCAACTTTCACGCTGACACCGCGAGAACGACCGGCCGGGCTTGCAGAAACGTAACGATATTATCGGAGGTCGCGGTTATGCGCTTCGGCATTATTTCGCGTATATCCTCACGCGACTCAACTATGCGTGTCCGCTTAATAATCGTCCAAATGATGTCATCGTGCAATTTTCACGTGAACATCAACCGTCGTTACCATCCGTTATCTCGCGGAAATAAAGAACGATGGATTTTCGTTTTCCCCGTTTCCCGAATTTTCATTATCGTTCGTATCCGTTGACATTCCGTTGCTTGTAGGAAGCGAGCTTCCAATATTCGTCCACTGATTAATGCTATCAAGTGAACGGCAATATCAATATCTTTTTAATAACGGAACGCTATCTGCTACGTGACCCTGATACGACACGCGTTATCTCGCGCCGTTGTTGTGCGCTCAGCGCAGCTGAGAGAGTGAGTGAGTATAAATGTCTCGTTGCGACAGCAGCTCGACAAGACAATTGCGGGAGAAGAGAGACGAAGAATTTCCGACCTGCGAACGGGTTTGGCGGACGGGACATCTTGATAACACACCGCACCGTTAATAACACGCATCGCGAAATTCCCTCGTCTCGAAACCAAGCGCCTCGAATATACGCGGTACGAAGCTGTTTGAGCAGCTGCTACGATGGCGATATGTATTTTCGGCCGAACCGATGAACCTCTACGCGCGGCTCGGTGACGTTGATGTGTTACACCTATCTCTTGAATAAACTTGAAACGCTGCGAAGCGCTTCTACGCCGTGACAGCGCGCGATCGCGAATCGATGGACGGAGCGATAAAAAAAAAACAAAGAAAACTGGAAATATTTTCACGACGAATGTGTACAGCGCGATCGGGAAATTAGCGACAGATATGGGGTCACGAGGGCAGGGAAAGGTTGGAGGCGATTTTGAATAATGCAGAGCTCCCCCCTCCCCCACCCCCGAGTCACTCGAGGCGATCGTCGAATGATTCGCGCTTTTGCTGACGCGTATGCGTACGCATGTACATGCACAGTAATGATTCACGAAGTTGTTTTTATGCGGAGAGCTTCGCGTCGTTTTCCCGCCCAACTCGATCGAACGTCGCGGACAAAAGTTGGGCAGATTTTGAAAAGTCTTCGCGCCAGTCTTGTCCACGGCGAGCAATAGAGAACAAGACCGTGTTCGATTCCTCTCTTCGCGGGTGTGAACGAATTGAACGAACACAATGAATACAGCCGGCAATTGTGTACAGCCGGCTTTACCGGTGAGAAGCGAAACAGTTTGGACTGGCATCGAAATTGGCAGCGCCGACGAATGATTGAGAGTCACCACGCCGACGGGTTTGCTAATTGTGACAGTCAAAGTGCGGAATGTGAAAATAATTTCGATCAAGATGACGTGAAACGTAATGTTAATATATTCGAAAGTATTCTGGGTTCGTACGGTTGCGATAATGGTATTCGAAGAGTCGGGCAACCTTGTGTTTCAAGTATACGAGATACAGGCGAAGGTCCAGTCGAAGATAAAACGGTCGGGAAAGTTTCCAGCGAGTTTGAAGGAATCTGATCATGGCCCACCGAAGCGTTTTCTCTGTCAAAAATGCCCGATGCACGGTTGACCGTTTGCAGGAAGCTCGCGAAGATTTGTACCCGCCTTTTCTGAACGCTCCGAAGTGAGCCGTAATTAACTTCCCACCGAACTATGCGGTCGTTTGGGCTTAAAATACTTTTCCATGTGGTTTACCGGACGCTTGAACCGCACGTTTGCCGAACGCTTGCCGTAAACGTCCGGGGAACGGTCACATCTGCAACGGAAACTCCGGAGGAGGAATTATTATTATACGATCGTTTAAGCAACGAAATTAAGATCCGCCCAATTAACAGCACGATGAGTCAATGTTTGTACCTTGTGCTGTCATTTCGGCTTCCGTTATGATCGATTACTACGCGAACTCATCGGTAATGACTCTCAATCGTGACAGTTTGCTCCGCTTCTAACTTCGGAGTCCTTCGAAACCGAACGTCTCAGCAAAACTGCTGTAGATTGGGAGAAAATATTAAAAAAAAAAAGAAAAATATTCACACGGTAGATACTAACCAATATATTTATCGTCATTTATTTTAACATCACTTAACGTCATCAACGTTATTCCCTGTTCTACCTTATATACAGTTGACGGTTTAATGAAGGAACTGAACCTCTGGGGATCAATCAGAAACGAATCCTCTCACTGGCTGCATTCCGAGTTACACCAGGAAACAAATGTTCAAACCATCTTGAAACCCAGCATACAATCAAGAGTGGAAGAAAAAGTGTTGTGACACTTCCAGCCCGATAAATTTTGGCATATGTCTGGTACCTCACGGGAAAATGTACCTTCCGAAAATTACTAAAAACACAAATTCTTTGACATGCGTTACTCCTTGTCTACAATAGGTGTTTTAAGCTTTAAGCCTTAAAAAATTGACCGATCACAGTCGAGTGTGAGGAGAATAATTCGCTAGGAATTGGTCATCAATTTCTCGAGGCTTAAGGCTTAAAATATCGTGGGCTGTGACTTACCGGGGAAGAGAGGAAGAAAAAGGGAGAGTTGCGAACTTCCTCCCGTCGACCGTGTACATCCGACGATTAGGAATATCCGCGAGTGGCTCTCGTCGACGCGAGTGCGCAAATGGGTTGGAAAGGCGACGCGGGTGATGAGGAAGTCTCATTGAGGACAGGTGCGCGCTTCGTCGCGACGAAATGTTGCGATACGCTCTCGTCCTCCTTATGGGGAGTCGTTCCGCGGTCGGTCTATTTCTGGACATGTAAATATCGATTCGCCACCCGCCACGGTACGCGCCACTGTGTGTGCGTGTGTGTTCCCCCGACTATGAGCGGAAAGGTAAGGATGAGGAGAGGCTCGATGGCAAAAAGAAACTGCATCACAATGGCTCGAGAGAGAGGCGCGAAGATTGCCGCTCGATGATTAAGGGTGTCGACTCGCGCGGCTTCTTCTTCGTTTTCTTTCCTTCATGTGCAGACGAGAATGCATCATCGTCGTGATGTGTGTGTGTGTATGTGACACACGAGTGTGTTAGTGTGACTTTCGTGTGCAGGAAGTGGATGAAGTCTCGACTGCAAGTCGAGGGGGAGAAAGTGTGAAAGCTGGGAGAATTCGATAAGGCGTGTATATTAAATCCCGTTAAAGCTCCGATTACGACAATAGCTATAGTGAAAGAAAAAAGAAAGAAAGAAAGAAAGAAAGAGAGAGAGAGATGAAAAAAAGAAACGCGTACACATATGTGACGAGGAGCTCTCGTCGAGGGTAGGCGGATCGAGAAGGGAGCGAGGAGATAATTGCACGGCTAGGAGATTCCCCCTGCCTCCCTGCCCCGTGGAACCGTTTTTCCACCGTGTATGAAAGCCGAACGAATCGATAGAATCGCAAAGGACGGCCGAGAGGGTCTATAAGAACGACGGCTTGCTGAGAGTGCGCGCGCGATCTTCGATTACACTTTAAAACTACACCGGTTGTGATCCGCGATTACGATTGCGTTTTCATGGTCGGTCGAAATTAGCATACACGCGACCGATCGATAGCTCGGGAATAGGTAGGGATTCGCAGAAGGACTCGAGCGTGAGTAGAAGTGATTTGATTTTTCGTCCCCGACATCCCTGATACAGGAAAACCGTCCGTATGTTTCGTATATGATTTATTCTCGATGACGCACCGGTGTTTGCGTACCCGTGCGTTCTATGTTTGACTAATATTTGCGAGGCTAATAGATGCGCTCGCGGGACGATAATCGACGACGCTTTTATCGCGCGACGCAGATTTGAGACTCGAGCGGTTTCGAGGCATATCCAAGCAAACGTGCATAATCGTATGTTGCATACGTCGCGAGGAAAGCAACCAATCGTGAGATCCAATGGAATGGAGGATATCTTTTATTTAAGACAACACGACCAGTCAATTTCCTCGTGTACATGCCCGAACGGGAATTTTCGTCCGATGTTAACTGAGACGGCAAAAATATCTAAGAAATGTGTCAAGGACATCCGAAGGACGCCTTATATTTCTAGACATCTTTCAGATTTTTTGGGACCTTTCGAAAATTCGTGCCGTCTGGAAAGTCCGTGATTCTACAAACAATAGGACAGCGTTCTCCCTCATCCCCAAAGAGTCTTCGCATTTTTAGGCTACGATTTCTGTAAAAAAGGGTGTATCTGCTATTTTTTTCAAGGAACCGTTACCGGTGAAAGTTACCAAGAGTTGTTGGAAAGTAAATATTTTCCTCAAACGAAGGAAACGAGGATTAGTACGGAAGTGTAATCTCGTGCAAACTGACGCACACTCGCGATGTGTTTGAATCGATACGTAAAGCGTATGTTGTTGGGAAGTAACAACCATTTACTTTCGACACAATCCCGACTTTGTAGGTTTTATCAGCCCACAGACTATCTTAGCAAGCCCAGACTGATCGGGCAGATTTGCTCTATTCTCGGCGATCGTTGCTTGACCTATTCTAATCCAAGCTCTCGATGATTTAATGAGAAAAAAAGTCGATACTTTGACTTTTAAATTTTATCATACCGACTTCTATACTGCAAGAATTGTGAAAACCCGTCAAGGATTGTTACTGGATACCCGTTCACGATATATAAGGTTTCCAAAGCCTAGCGAGGTGTAACTCGTGCGGTTATGCTGAGAGCGTCGAGGTAACATCCGAAATCTCGACTCGGGTTCATTATGCAAGTTTATCCGTGATAAGTCACGACCGCAGCTCGACACCAGGTCGAAGTCCGCGAGAGAAAAGCGAGCCTCTACCTTGTCCAAATTGATCTTGCTGGCTGGGAACCACTTGCCGACGAAAACGATCACCGGTCGGCCTTGTCGGTCCACGCCGCTCTGGTAGAGGCAGCCGATCCCTGAGATCTCGGTGAGGTCCTCCGTCTTCGCCCGCCTGAGGAGCCGCTCGTACCTGCAATCACCGATACCGCCCGTTTCCTTACCATTAATCAGCCTAAGTTAGGTTCGATACTATCGAACTATCGTAGAACATTAATGCCTCGTCCGGCGCAGGTTTAACGCGCGCGTGACCTCATTCCCGCGCCCTGTACGCGCGCTCTCGCGACCGACTCGCGATGAGTCAAGCTGAGGTAATTCCCTAAAGTCGCGGCCGTAGTAATTCCTCAGCTCGTACGACGCGCGACTCACGAAGACCCATGACAGCGAGTTTCATCAAATTCGCCTTGTGGAAATCGTAAACGTGCACACGCAGAATGCATACACGCAGAGAGAGAGAGAGAGAGAGAGAGAACGATGACAGATGTTAACGAGAGAGTCTGGAAGCGTGTCTCGAGTGTCCCGCGACACGATACCTGTTGTCACGTAGCTTTAATTGCGATACAGCAGTGCCGCTCTGCATAAATACGGTGAATTTCAGCGCGCATAAAATTCCAATCTCGCGGGTAAATCGATTTATCGCGACGTTCATTCGCGTCAAAATCCTCACGCGAATTTTACTCCGTGTTATCTGCGATCACCGCCGCGATCTTGCACGGTAAGGATGTATGATGGTCGGTGGTTAAAAAAAAATGTCGCAACACTTCACGATTTCCTCGCAAATTCCGGACACACGTTCCGTGATAGGGGAATTTGTTTCCCAGTAATCCTCAGGAGATACGCGTCTTCCCCTCTTGGATACGAGACGTCTCGCGAGGACTTATCTACGAAGAATGTCGCGACATTTGCGCGACTGATCGTACGTGCGATCGCGATCTCCCGCAGAATCGGCCGGGATTACCGATGTATGCGTCTTTTCTGCCGGAGGCACTCTTTCGCAGCATCGACGCTACGGCGATTACGGCTACTGCTACGTTAAGCGGATGGAACTTTTCGATAGCCATCGATCGTCCACTGGGCGGCCCGGCGGCCGACTCCTCGACGACGAGCAGCTCGGGGGGAAACACACACTGGATGAACGCCAATAAAAGCCACGGGGATCAATAACGCACCCGGGACAAGGCGCGGGCACAGGGTGGATGGAGGAAACTGACGAGGTTCGATCGGCGGAAAATCGGCAAGGAACTTCCACTGCTCCTCCCCTCTCTCTCTCTCTCTCTCGTTTATACACACCGATCTTCATCCTCGATGACATCCACCATGTCTATCATGACCATTCTGGTGTTACGCTCCTCTGGTAAGCCGTACCGCTTCCTACCGATCCTTCCGAGGGATAAGAAAGCAAAGAAGGAAGAAAGACGAAGAGAAAGGACGAGACCACCAGATGGGTGTCAGCTGATCAGCCGTGGACGGTCGTCTTTTTGCGTGACATCCAGTCGGCGAGCAGCGGGAACGGCGAAGCACGACACGATTCCGCGACGGAGGGAGACGAGAGAGGTATACGGCGCGCACGCGAGTGATGTGTGCACAGGTATTGTATCTGCAGCTGCGCTCGAAGGAAGCAGGCGGACACAGGGCAGGCACGAGCGATCGCGAGCAACTAAGCGTCTTGCCGAACGGCAGCCGTCTCTCCTTCGACGGCCACGACGGTCTCTCCCGAGTCCTGCCGGAGCGCCGCAGAGCGCCTGCCCGGCCCGCGAAACTGCGTGTTCGATGCGCGACGCGAGAGAGAAGACGCACGCGCGCGCGGAGTAGGGACTCGCGCGAGCCACCTTATTAATTCGCGATCGTGTTCTTTAATTATAGTAATATCACCTCGCGGCCTTCGCCGGCCTGTCAACGTCTCCTTTCGCGCGCGTGCCTTCGGAAATCCCGTTCCTTCCCCCGTTTTCGGCGTTCTCGTCTCGAGAAGAGACGCCTCGAATGCGAAATGTTGCTCACCGATTGGACGATTCTTAAGATATCGTCGAGTAGGGACTCATTTTGAAAATTTCCCACTCGGCTTTGAGTTTTGTAAGCATGTATCCGCGGGACGACGTTAAGCATCGTAAAGACGTCCCTTAGGTGGCAAGACGTTTGAACGAGACGCCTTTCAGAGACCCTTCAAGCATACATGTGGATGATAACACAGCTCGATCTGAACTTTTGCAATTCTTGCAATATTAGAGGAGTCACGATATGTGGTAAAATTGATAAATAAGAATCAGTTTTCTCCAGAGCCACGAGGGGTTTGATCTCGTCGGTCAACGATCGTTGAGAAAAAGATCGATTTACCTAATCCCGGCTGGCAATGTGTTGAGGATAATTTGCGGGCTTACTTAGATAGTCCAGCCAGTAAGTACCAATTAACAGTAATCAATAATTATACCGTAGGTGTAGTGTATCGCGTCAAGTTAACGCGCGAAGCGAGAACGCGAGATCGAGTGTATACTTGAATTCTTCGCTCAACAATATAACTGTGATATAATACATGTGTTGTATGTAACAGTTATGTTATTGAAATTGATTTAGTGGGAAATAATAATATTGCTGTTATGTCAGTTGGCATTTAGCGGACATAGACTAATAAAAACTTACTGACGATATTATACCTGTCAACTGTTCTCTCGGCTCCCTTTAATTCCGTAGATTTATTTTCAATACTATTTCGATTGTTAAATTCATATAGGCGTTGAAAATAGCTGGTTTTGATCGCTAAAAATGGCGAGAACGAAAAATGTGAGATATCATATCATGGTGGAAAAATAGGAAAACTCGGTAAATTTTTCGGAATGAAATTTCGCTCGAAAAGTAGAATGAGTTCGAATTCGAGCGACTTTTCACTCGTTTCATGTGGATTCTCCATTCTGAATCGCCGAGTGAATATTCTTGCTCGAAACTGAAGAGTGAATCTGACGTATCCCACGAAACAAGTTTACTTTAACCGATTGAAACACTCTGGTCATATAGAATCAGAATTCACTCTAAACTTGAGAAGAGCGAAACCGCTCACTCCAGCGATTCCGAGCGGCGGTATTTCTTACTGTCGTTACAAGTCGTTACAAGAAGACACTACCTTTCACTCGTTTTGAATGAGAGATCGCACCCCAAGAAATTTAGAATAAATTGCATCATTAGAATTGAACCTGATATTTTGCTATCTTGCCTTCTGTTATGTCGTATAGAAGAAAGTTTGATTCAATTTACGAGACGATGAAAAGATTACACAAAAGTCTGATTACTTTTCGGTAAACTAAAGTGAATCCGGCTCCTAGGGGACAAATTCGATTCTTGCAATCAGAAATTCTGTTTCCTTCGACCGAAGCTTGCTCGTTCAGGTGAATTCAACCAGACCTTTAATCCATGTAAAATTAGCGGTTCAACACAGGGTTAAAATTTCGACGTGGGACGAGGTGCTCTGATACGTATCTCTCCTCGATTTCTCTTCTCGAGCCGAGAACGCTCTCGGTAATAAACCGCCGATAAACTGTCGTGACTTTCGTTAGCGGAATGAACGCGCGCAGGAATCGAAATTGGATAAAATCTACGTTACATCGTCAGGTGTAAGTCGCTGGGAGGATATAAACGGTGGGATTTTTCGGTGGGATCGTTCATGCGCGTCCGCGAATTCCAACTTCGTCGAAGTGATCTCTTATCAAAATATACAACATCCGGTGCGAGATTATTTTCCTACGAAAGGCAAACATACGTTTTACGGATTAATCTGCCCGGCCGGAGGCGGATCCGCGAAATCGTAAAGAATACTCGCGCGTATAAATAGAATACGATCGCCATCTCGCGATCGCGCGTGCGTGAAGAGGAATCGTGTTCCCGACATATCGGTCGAATCGATTTTTACACGGGCGGTGTTTTTAGGTGATATTAAATAACTACGAAGATACACCGATAGAGCGCACATCATTATGCGTGCGCAACGTCTCGAACGCGTCTCGAACGTTCCACGTCTTTCTTTCGGAACGCAATTTCGCGACTCTGACGTCAATTGAAGTGGCTCCAAGGTGCTTTTTCACGAAATCGTGAATCAAAACACTCTCTCTCTCTCTCTCTCTCATTTACGCAGTATCTCTGTGGGCTTGCGATCAAAATCGAGATTATGTTCTTCAGCATCGTTGCATATAAACGCGCGAGTGCTGTCATTGTCTACAGAGATAAAAGTTGATTTCATAGAATCCTTATTAATCTGGACGTACCTCGCAAATAACGTAAATATATGTAATAACACATTATTAATAATTTGCAGTCGCGGAAGAACCGGTCGCTCTGTCTCGGCAAACGATCAAGGTTCGAACTCGGAAAAGAGAAACTCATAATGAGTCACTGTCTGGTGTAATCAATGGTTCGAATCACAGGTGGATCTTTCGCCTCGTCACAATAAAACGGACTCGCCATGGTGACGCGAAAATGGTGACGTCGATGACAATCTTGACAGCGGAATAAATACTTAATGAGAAAGAAGGATGTCGGGCCTCGCGCGAATGATTTATTTCCGTGACACGGACGCAGGTATTTCGGCTCTGAAATTAATTCGAGACAAATATTGCGAGGGGGAAGTTGATACGTACGTCACACGGAGAAATCGATAAGCAGCCTCATCGATATGACGTTATCCTTAGACGTGCCTATACGTGTTTATGCTAAATATTTAATCTAATTCTTCTTTTTACGGCGAATATATACTTTTTTATTGATCACGTGAGAGAGCCTTTGTATAAACTCCGCCTTCGATTCCACTTACGAATTTGGAAGAACAATTGGTCCCGTTAGTTAATCAGTTAAATATGAGACAACGCCGATCGCAGTAAACAATCGCTGAAAATCGTCGCGCGTCACATTCAGACGTTGCGTTCTGTTATCTTCTTTCTTTTACGGTAAAGAATTCAGCGTTATTAGCTACTGATAGCAGAACCGCCGGTAGGACTGAAATTACCACACTTATTAGGTCGAAAGTACAAACGGACTTATAGCTCGTCTATATCCGGTTACGTGGTGATACGAAGCGAATCGATATGCGCGGCTTCGTTAGTATCATCAGCTCATTAAAATATGATTTCCAGCTCATACAGGCAGAGGCGAAATCAAACCGCGTCCGACAGCTTTTTCTCGGGGAAAACTCCGTGCTCGTTTCACCTCGGAACGTTCGTACTGCAATACTCGTCGGCACGGAAGAAATCTGCCGGCCACGTCGTGACATCTTCTTCGGTAGAAAAGGTAGCTACTCTGTATGAATATACATTTCATCGTCGCGTGGATAAGGTAGAGAGAGAGAAAGAGAGAGAGAAGAAGATTGTCGGAAAGGTACAAAGAAGATAACAGAGCGCACAGGTGGTGTTCTATTATTCACTGCCAGTATCAGCAGTCTGTTCTCACGGAAGACGGATGAAAGATGCTACCTATATTAGCAGTGAATAACAGAACGCGGCCGTAGGAGAATAGTTCCGGAGACTTCTCATTAAGCGGAGTCTACAATGAGAATTTAAGGCGTAAGACTTAAGAAATGGAGCAATCGCCAATTATAGAAGAAAATTAAGATTAGTCAGTTTCTTAAGATTTCTTACGCCTTAAATTCTCATTGTAGACCCCGTTTCAGGGATCTCGATGACTGGCGAGGCGTAAAAGCTTAAAAATCGATGCTTTCATTTCGATCAACTCGTTCACGATGAAGTTACGTCGTTCGTCTGCTTTCGACGGATCTTCCGCGGAAATTCTAACATAAATATGGCGGTCTGCGCGGTCTCGACGAGAGATCCACGTTCATCACGACATCGTAAATTCGTCCCCCTCCGCCTTACCTCTCTTTCTGCTGCATTTGCTTGAACATGATGTCCGCCAGCGGGTCGGCGGGCGGCCTTTCGCCCAGCAGTCTCTGACGGTCCAGGTCACCTTGCATCTGCGCGAAAGCGTGCTCGCCGATGTTCACCGAAGTCTCCAATTGCGCCGAGAGTTCTACCGTCTCGTCACCTGAAATTGCGAACGGTTACTTGAAGGAATTTAAATGACGCGCGTGGCTTGGGTGAGAGAGGTGTAACTCAACTTACCGTGCAAAGCGTGCTGAGGATTGTCGATAATTCTAATTTGTCTATCCGGAAGTAAAGGTTCCCCGTCGGGGCCGCCGATGTCGCTCGGTAACTGCCAACAAGCGTTATCCTGCTCAGCCAGGTTTCGCGGGAAATAAAGCGGCAGGAGGACCTCGTATATCCCGAGATCGCACGGCTCCAGTACAAATATAATACACGTTAACGAGTCGCTGTATTGCTCCATGAATCTACGTACGGTCCCTGTGAAGGAGAACAACGGGAAAAAAAGGCAGCGTTCAGTACTCGTCGTCGCATTGGGAGGCATTGCGAGTCATCGCGGCTTCACACTTGGAATTTCGCATTAAAAAAAATATGCATGTCGACATCCACTCACGCATCCGTACTCACTGAGAGCTATGTGAGCTCCTGCGTCCGGAGGATAATTTCTCCGGACCGAGTTTATTACCGGCAGAGCGATGGTGCGCAAACCCATCTCCTTCACTTTCTGCAGGACGTTTCTGCGATAAAGAGACACGTGGATTAGCTTCGTCATTACGGTAAGTCTCGTAAAGCTCGCTTATCATTTCTTTCTCGCTCGTATTGACTTTTCTACACGGTGAACAATTTGGCGTTAACCTTTTTCGACAGCCGACGGCGGCCGCCATTACGCTACCACTGTACGGAAGAAGGAAACGCGAGAGCGCGCATTATACAGCGGAGAAAACTCGCGCAGAGATAGAGCGGAGTTTTATCTTCATATAACTTCCATAATTTCGTTTCGATTTTGCTCTTGCCATTAATAACAGTCTTTACATACAGAAGTTTCGCTGGTGGCCGCTATAGTTCGTCGCCATAAAAGGTTAAAAACGGTCCATTGAAATTTTGTGTCGCTTCAACACGGGGGATGTGTTTAAAAAAGTACACAAATATATGTTAAAGACGTATTAAGTACATGTTATACACACACAAACATTATATTTTTCTTTAACATACTTCCCATGTCAAGGTAACGAAAAATTTCAGCGGACCCTTTTGACAACCATTTTGTTTAATCTTCCTCCCTTCGTGTACATCTAAATAGAGTTTAGACGCTTTCGAGTCACCTGTAGCAACAGTGTAGCGTGTTTTGCGCAGCTGTTTGATACTTCACGTTATAAACTGGTCCAACAGTGTGAATAATAAAACGAGCCGGTAATCCGTGACCCTGTGTTACTCTTACCTCGCCGGTTCTGCATTCTGCAATAGGCAAATAGAATATTAGAGCAGGCTATATCGTTGGTATAGACTACAGGGTGTTTCCGCGAGGAAATCGGCAAACTTTTAAAATCCCGCCCGGAAGCAATTCTATACAAAAAACTCCAGGTACATTATAGGTCAGGTTCAGAATTATCGAGTTATAAAATATATAAATCAGACAATCTTATTAATATTGTAACAGGCGCGAGAAATACCAGATATCTGTAACTTTTATTAGTTGAATATTATTTTTCACATCATCTGTTCAGAATGTCCACATTTTGCCTGCAAACATGATGCTGCTTATTCTACTATAAATCAGCGTCATCATTTAATTTGCCTGAGCTTAATGCGAATATCCGTGATCTCTGTTATTCTGTTCAACTAACTGTTGACGGGTCTCTGATTTATCGTCGGTGTATATACGAGACTTCGAGGAACTTCACAGGAAGAGATTCAGAACGAGGTGGGGCCGAGGTTGTTATCCAGAAATTGGCGTTACAATAATGAAATTTTTCATATCTCGATAACCGAGCTGAATCGACCTATAACGTATCTTTCACTTAGAACGACCTATGGAACGTATTCTAGAAGTCCGTCGGCGGAACGTCTTGTACAAACACGTACATACCTTTAACATCGTTATATATTTCTAGTTTGAGCGCGGTACCAGCTCGGTTAAACAATTTTTGGCACATAGGACTATTATCATCCATCGTCTCGTTGGTGGAGTTCACTATCGCGTCTACTTGTAAAATCGAAACATCTCCGGTCCTGGAACAAACAAATCGATACAAGTCGTCCGTGAATTGCGTAATCGTATCAGCACGATGTCGCGGTTGACATCGGCCGGAAATCTTCGACGGATCGCACGAAGACGGGACGATTAAGCGACGACTGAAAAACTCAAGGTCTCACCATAGCGCGAGCTTGTTGTTAAGCGACGGTTGACAAGGGAAAGGGCTTATAGCGTGATGCGCCGTCTCTCTCATCGACTCGGAGTAATCCGTGTACCGGTGTTGAACGGGATAGTCGGCCCATCGTTTCAGCACCGCCGGCTCCACGATATCCTGAGCGACGCCCAAGGGTTCCATCAGCCTCATTCAGCTGAAAAGCAGATGGGAGAGCTTACTTACTCGACTTGCTCTCGCGCAATTTATTCATTCCCGCGCGCAATACGTCCGCGTCTATACACATAGATTCTCTCCCTTTGTTTTCGCTCTGTCACTTGTGCCATTTCTGCGTGACGAGCGCTCCTCGCTCACGCACACGCGGCACGGACGGACGGACGTTGACCCAAGGAAAAAGACTACGTGTAACAACCGACCGACCGGCGGCGAGCGCGCTGATACGAAGACCGTCACGTGTCGCGAACGCAACTCGTCTCTCGGAGGTATCTCTTTCACGCGGCTGTTACGAGCGCAAACTTCTCGAACGCGCGATATAAATTTAAGGATTGACTAAGCGGAAAAGGATTCAGCGTGGTCAGATTGGAAGTATTTGCTCTCTCTGGCTCGTGCAAAGGATGATATTGCTCGTATGAGCGGAGACAACATTGCTCAGAAAGTGTTTAAAAGTATTCATGATAATAGTTATAATAACACTAATGATAGCGTTTTCGCCAGTGAATTTAAAAATATTAAATTTTATAACCTTGATGATTTCAATATCAGTGCTATTCGTTATAAAATAATTATAATATTTCCTACTCGCTATAAAGTCTAAGACGAAAATCCACATTTTTCCGTTTTACATCTCATAATTTGCTGTCTAGTTTTCATACTCAGCTATGACATCTTATATAACATGTTATGATATGTTAGAATTGCTCTAATATTTAATAATACAGAATTTGACAGCGATCTCAGTGGCCGCTGTAAATCAACCGACGAATTTCGCTTTGTTTTCATGGGAAGTTCGATATTTTTGTGAGTTTAGACTTCCTACAAAAACTCGTCTACAACGTTTGTGTTAGGCATTTACAGAGTGTTGCGTCAACATGCAGGCCAGTATGACGGGTTACCTATTCGCTTTGCTGTCAGGCGGTCGAACACAGATTTAGTGCGATATACTCGTTTATAAAATGATTTGCATTCATTGGTTTCAATAAAAAGCATGAAAAGGTACGTACAAATCGATTTACAAACATAACGTTTATACTGCTAAATCCATGCTGAGTTCGCGATTGATGACCGTTTTCCACCTGGAATTGAAAATTAATATACGTAACCCACGTTTTTGCACGACCAGTGTAAAACCGATGTGACAAGTTTCGATGCTGCAACTACTGGTGTTACGTCACATCGAGTACAGTTGTAACATAATTATTCACACGGCCATGTAATTTCGATAGTCGTCGCGCCAGCCGGAATTATCAAATCAGATCTGTGCTGTTCGCGTAAATGTAGATTACGGAAGTTACTGAATCTGTTTTAAGTTACTGTGTAAACGTAACCCGTGTTCAAGCGCGCGCCTGCCAGCGAAGCGAATAAGCAACTCGTCGTATTGACCTATGTTGTATGTTGACGTAACACCCTGTACAATCATGTTGTTTGTGGAGCTAGGTGTTTATGATATTTACCTATAAACGCGAGCCCAACAGAACCATCGAAAGATACCCGAGGTTTCAGGAGAAAGATTTCCAAAAGAAAGAACAAAGAAACGTCAAAAGTCACGTTCACGTACGCTGAGAAAAAGATTCCTTCGAATCTAATAAATTTGATCGCAACCGAACAAATTTCATCATTGACGTGCCCCGAAGAAACTGACGTTACGATCAATAAGTACGATTGTTAGCGTTTTCAACGAAAATATGTATCTTTATCTTAAATAAAAAAATTCGTTTGGAACGAAAGATAAATTTCTCGTGAAGAAATTATTCGTCTCATTTTACATACATTTTATATACATGTATTTATCGTAACCAAATAATATTTCATTCGGTTAGAAGATATTATTTCAAGTAATAGCGTCCTTTCTGTCAAACAATCGAGTTTTCTCGTATGAGACGACACTATTTTTATTCAAACAAATAATATTTCCTACGAGTGTATATTGTTTCTCCGGAAAAAAATTTCAGTCAAATAAAGAGAAATATTACATCTAAAGGAGCCATTTTCTCTGTATAATGGGGCACGAGGGTTCTTTTGGAACCCGAGGATACGCGAATCTCGCGGAAGTTCTCGTCGAAAAGACTCTCTCCCTCAATCGTGAGCAGCTTTACGTCGGTAATCGACGTTCGAGGTGTCGTCCTACATAAAGCATCGCGACGTATTCCCGATTGCGTTACCGAAAGCGGCCGCGTTTGTTCGATTTGCGTAGCGCCGTCACGACGACGGTGGCCCCGTATTTTGTCGTATATTCCTAAAAATAAACAGTTCCGTCGATAAAAATGTGGGCCGCGCGCTACCAGCAAGGAGGAAGGTGACCAAGGACACAAGCCCGATCGAGCGATTTGAAAACAACTTAGCTCGCGCTCTCGTGTATTCGGCCGCAATCGATCAAGAATACGCAGAAGTGTATAAATCACCGTTATCCGCACGCGGATGCACGCCAAGGAGCGGAGCGTTCATACGTGGCTTTTAGATTTATGCAACGACCAGCGGCGCCGCCTTTTTCTCAAATCTTCATTTGTTCTTCGATAAAGCCTTCTCCTCCTTGCGGATGAAATATAAAGATAACAGTCACGACGAATCTGTCCGAAATATTAGGGGCCTGGGAAAAGAAACTTCCGGATTTTTTCGGCCGGATTTCCTCTTATCAGGAATGATAAAACAGCGCTTGCCACGTTCGATCAAACACTGAGAAGAGTACCGGGTATTTGTGGCTGTAATTAATCGCGCGGCGAAATTGTTTTATTACAAAAACTTTTATTAAGTTTTTGAAATTTTTTCATTAAACATGTAGCGTCGATAATATCGCTGTTAGGAAAATCCATATTAAATTTAATAATCCTGTTGTGTAAAGTTTTTTTTTTTTTACATAACCAAGTTGTGAGAATTAATAACCAATTTGATATTACATTTAATAACGCATAATCAATGAAGAGACATGTTCTGAATCTACTTTTCACAATGGTATTGTAGTAATTTGTAATCTAGATTATTAGTTCTGTTACGTCCTGGGTACCTCGGGAACTACGAATTCCTTTTTTTTTATATATGATTGGGAAGCGGACGGACTTCGGGGAAACGCTATCGAAAAAAAAGCCTTCACGTAGTTTTGTTACGTCCTGGGTACCCAGAAACTCCTTTTGTTTTATGTATATATATATCTGAGAAGCAGATGGACTTCGGAGAAGCGCTATCAAAAAAAAAAGATAAGATTACGATGGCTCGCAGTTAAAGGCGTCTGTCACTTTTTCCGCCTTCATACATGGTCAGTCGGACTCAGGCTCCTTGTTGGGATTAGGTTCTTAGGATCGTTTATGACATCCAGATGATAGGAATTTTCCAGGGTATCCGTTTTCCAATCCTCCATATCCGTTTTCCACGCAAACTTTTCTCATTGGCGATCGTTATTCCTCAAAATCTTCCCTATAAAAACCCTACTCTCTGGCCACTCCAGTCAGTCATTTTCACTTCGCCTTCTGCTGCTGAACAACTCGCTGTCCAAATCGGGATCTCTCCAGAGTCAGTCAGTCAGTCACTTCTTCTTCTGCTGCTGAGTAACGCGCTGCGCAAGTCGGGATCTCTTAAGTGAACTATTTCTCTCGGTATTGCGGTATTCCAGAAATGCGGTATACCACGATCAACGAACCTATGTTCTACATACTATTCATCACAGTCGATTCACCTAAATCGTAAGTCTCTATTTCATATTTAAACATGACTTTTAATTATTTCAATCTCCACCTCCAATCCCACTTCACTCCTTAAAACACACACAAACACTGCGTAATTATTATTTTTCTTGTATTACATAATGATATTTTCTTGCTGATACGTTAAACATTCTTGTCTCGTTAAATCCTATTGTATTATATTAAGTTACACGGATTACCTTTTTATTTAATCTTACTTTAATCTTCATCTTTTATTCGCATTATTCCAATAATGATGATTTATAAAAGTTTGTTTAATGTTAACCCATATATCTCATTGTTTAACTTTAGCTAACTGTTTCATCTTTTAAATATTGTATCTTTTACAATGACTTCTCTCATCAATTTATCACTATTATTAATCCATGTGAGAACCAATTATGTTATTAGTATAATTAATAAACTGTTTTATTCAAAATGTCCTAAATTTAACCAAGTTGTTACAATTATTCATTCATTTCCTTTCAATTACTTAAATGTGAATTCCCCTTCAACACTCCCCTTCAACAATGGTCCTATCCGAGAGTAAAGAGATTAAGTTCTTTGACCTAAATAAAGGACCACCTAACGTACGTTTTGCGATCGGAGTAAATGGGCCTCTCCGGACTTTGACCTGATCCGCAGACCTGTCGGCACGTTTAGGCCTCGCGAGTGCGCGAGTATGCGATGTTTGTTGTGTAAATCCTCTTCCAGGACGCAACAGTTCTCACAACAGCGTCCTTTAGATTTAGTAACACCATTAATGATTTTTGTTCTGTCGTCTCTAGATTATTACAACACCATTATGAAAAGAAGGACTCAGAATATATTTTTTCGTAGCTATATATTAATTATAATATCGTTTTGGTTATTAGATTTCATAACTATGATTTTGTAAAAAAATTTCACTAGATTATTAAATTTAATAGAGATTTTTCCATCATACGTTCTTAGAGATTTTTTCATCATACGTTATCAAGCTTGGAATGTTAATAAATGCTATTATCGATTTACTACTATCGTACGGCTTGAATTATTTGCTTCCGCGTGCTTGTAAAATGAATAATCTTTGGAGAAGCCATGCAATTATTAACAATCTGACAAACTGTCGCAAAAGTTTAATCCTATTTATTGTCAATCGAATTCTTTCGGTTATCGTTTTTCCTCTTCATTAAGTTTTGGCTCTCATTGCACACCGACGACAGAATTATTTAGAAGCGTACATACGCACGGCAGGATAGTAGGATATAGGCTGCGTAATGGCAAAGAGCCGGGAGGCTGGCGCCGTCTGGCTCTGAGCGGATCTTACGTCCTGGTGAACCCATTAAGGAGCAGGATCGTTGACCTCGTGCGCGCGCCCGCGCAGTTATTAAGAATAATTTATACTTGGCTTCGAAACCAGCGGCCAAAGGAAGAAATTGAAGAAATCGGGATCGATGACGAAAATCTCTCTCTCTCTGTCTGTCTATTTCTTTTTCGCCATTTTGTGAGATATTTACATCCCGCGGAGATATAATATTGCAGAATATCGCGGAACGTTAGTCCCTCGCGAAGAATTTTGATTTGATCCGTATTACGTCGCGGGAATATTGCGATGAGAAACGAATAGAAACTCGAAATATCGGATTGCACGCATGGAGAAAAAAAAAATTAGTTGAACTAACGTGACGATGAATAAATCAAACACGTTTTGCTGGAAAGAAACAAAACTTCGGGTTGTCTTGAATCAAATTGTCGGGAAGCAGAAATTCTGTTTCCTGGAACCAAAACAGTTCGTTCATCAACATGTTAATTAACCCAATTTTTTTCTCCGTGCGGTGTCGTAACGAGGGTTCGCCGCGGTCTCGTAAACGAAAACGTACGATCGATTTTCTCGGCAGGCGGAAGAAAATTAACATGTTAAATATCTCACTGGTGACTTGCATTATGATACTACTGCGTCTCATTAAGTTGTTTGTAATGATAATCGTATTTACAAAATCGGTCGATCTTTCGAGATAATTTAAGAATAATGTATAAATAATTGCGCTCGGAGAATCTCGGTCAGTGAAGAGTAAATGAAACGAGACCGAAGGTCCATGTGTTTCGAATTATTCAAATTATTTACCGTATCTTCAGTGATTCAATCATCCATCGAGCTTTTATACAATCAACGGGAATCGATGTGCACTGAGAAAAATTTTTTTATTTATAATTACCATCGGATAAGTGAAAGAATTGTAAGTCTTTACAGACGACAGTCATATATTTATAGAATAGGCTACTTTGAATTAAAAAAATTCCGTATCATTTTGCAAATAACACGCAAATTTTTTAGTTATTAATTAAAGGAAACTTAATACATTTCCAATCACTAATACTTCTGAAACAAGGTCAAATAGGACACATATTCATGTGAATATTTTTGCATAAATGACCGATACTATCATCTCCCAGAATATTGACTTTTCCTCCTGAGACACCCTGTATGTGCATCTCCGTTAGATCACACAACCGATGCAGAAATATAGCATTAATAAAAAAACTTCGTCTCAAATTAACATTTATTATTTAGATTGTGAGATAAATATATATAAGTGCAGTGTCGCTTGATAAATATCAAATTCACGATTCTTTGATATGTCACTGAAGATATATTAGCTTTATAACTTCCTTAAAATTAAATCAAGATATAGATCGGAAGAAGATATTGAGGCCGAAGATGACTAGAATTTTACAGAGATTTTTCTGAATATAACGCTATCGGCGCGCTAACGAACGGGCCAAATCGACAGCACGCGGCGCGTGACTACATTAAAAGCGAACGGTTTAACTTGACACGGTAATTCACCGAAGTAATAGATACATTAGCATTCTTACGTAGCTGTAAACAGGCTCGCGCTCGCTGACTAATCGATGTTCCATATTTTCGCGCGCGAAAGCCGAATAGTCGCCTTCCTGTCGCCGTAACCGAGTTGAAACTTCATCCCAACGTTAAACTTTCAATTCTACAACAGATTAGGGGTTTAAATAGAAAAATAGGTACAATTTCAATTCTAATAATACAAGTTACTCCTATTTCGACCCTGATTATGCTTTGAATTCCTGTTTGCGCTGTTTTAGCATCAAAATAGGTTGTTCCGAGTAGCGTAAAATTAAATCTGTAGAATTAAAAGTTCAAGAGAAAACTTAATAAGTAACGGTATATCAACAAAGTGGGATTTTATTAATCTACAGATTATCCGAGTAGAGGCGCAAACTATTCTTAAGAGCGTCAAAATTTTAGTCCTATATTAAACCTTTAATTCCGCAACGGAGCTAAGATAGCAAAAACATTCTAATAATATGAGTTACTCTTATTCTGATTCTGATGATGTCTTAGATTTCGCGTGATAGTTTTAGCATAAAAACAAGTTGTTCAATATAGTATTAAGATAAAATCCGTAGAATTACAGGTTGAAGAGAGAGAGAGAAAGAGAGAGAAGGTAATAAGTGTCAGCGCCGTCAAAGTAGATCTTTCTCAGTCTACAAGCCATCGTAAGGACGAACTATCTTTAAGAGCGTCAAAGTAGCGTTGAAATTTTCACTCGCCCTGTCGACTCGACCCCGTGGGCCAGGTAGATGAATTCCCGACTGAGAACAACTGTCGTCTTCGCCGGAGTCGCGTACTGTAATAAACACAATTACGTGCGCGTGCCTTAAGGGAAGACGCGTACGACGAGTGAGTAGCGTGCGGAAAACGAGCGGGAAACGTGCGTTTAACGACCCTGCGAAAGTCTAACAACTTTATATACGCGCGGCCGATAACACTGACGAGCTGAAGGGTCAAAGCCGCTCGATAAATCCCAACTTCGAAAATAGATTCGAAGTATATCGTGCGGTGCTAATGTCTCAATGAGCCTGCGCGCCAATGGCTCGATCGCACCCGAGTGACGCGAAAGTGATGATCGTGCTGTTAATCGCGAAGCTCGCTCAAATAACGATACCATAGCCAATCGCATCTTCGGTCGCACTTCGACCTCGCGCGCGCTTCATACCTCGGACGAATGCGCTTTTCTGACGCATCAGCGCGAAGCCTTTTGCGCCAGGCGTTACATATTCCGCGGCGGCGAGGGGCTTCCGAACGAATCCTTTGTGTGCACGTAGCCGTCGGTGAAGTGAAAACGCTCGGGAAAAGGCTCGAACAGTCGAACGAAAGGAAAAAATAAAATGAAACAGTGTATATTATATATATATATATNGCACAAAAACGCGACGTCCCGAATTGGAATTTTGGCCGTATGTTGATCCTTTGATTCTGTAATACAGTAAAAACTAAGATAGCAAAATAAGTTCAACTTCAACCGCAATAATATAATTTACTTCTACTTCGATCCTTTGATGATTTTTTAAACCTTTATTTTCCCACGTTTTTCGCGTCAAAACAAGTTGTTTTGAATACTCATATGAATTTAATCGTCGAAATATTGAGAGCATTTATAGCTTCAAAATAGCATTGAAATTAAATCTGTAGAATTAAAGGTACAAGGGAGTAGGTAACAAGTAGAACACAGTCAAAGTAAGTTTTTACTAATATATAGGCCATTTAAGTAAGCGCAAACTGTCCTTAAAATCATCAGGATAGCATGAAAATTCCCATTCCGGGTGTTTCGATGCTCTAAATAATCGGCAATGGGCGAATCTCTAAACGACGACTCGCCATTCATTTTGTCGCGGTCCACACGCTAATTTTTTCAATTTGCTAGCATCGAGCCGTCTGTTTCTCGAAGAGGCAGAGGCGGATCCGGTTCACGACGACGTACGTCTGATCCCCTTCGGTTTACACACTGATAAAGATTGCCGGTGCGCGTTTTTATTGTCGATGTCCCCATCGATACGTGTTGAGATAAACTTTGTTACTCTTGCGCTAAGAGCTCCATTATAAACCACTGATTCCTAGAGACTCCGTTTCGTGCTTTATCTCCGTTATTAGTTTCCCGGCGTATTTCTAAAAGAATATCTCATCCTCTCGCGGCGTTGTAGAAACATTCGCTTCGATTTCAGTGTCAGATCTTCGAGACGAGTTCGGAAAACCTTTTTCCACCGACTGTTTCCGTTAAGATCGAGACATCATTTCAGCGCGAAATTCACAAGGTCGTCTCCACATAATTGTCGTCGCGTTCTTTGTTTTTATTTGTTGTGACGCTTTTTCGCACGCGCGTACGTATCTCTTTATTGCGCGGCTCATGACGCAATGAAAATTGCGATGAAGCTTATCTGGCAGCAATAACTGCGCGACAATTTTCTACGCGGATCACAACTCCGCCGTATTAGTGATGACTCAGTAAGTGACGCAAAATAAATACTCGTAATATTTTTTTCGTCTTCGTCAAGTACAGTTGGATTCTGTGTGTGTGTGTGTGTGTGTGTGTTGCAAAGAGAGATAGAGAGATAAAGATAGCAAAATAGAGGAGCGGAGAGAAGCTAGTTCAATCGATGATTATTAAATATTAGCGAGGTATCGACGTTCCTCGTGCCTTAGACACGTGTCCGAATTCACTGTGTACACCGTGCCGAGGTTGATTTTTTACCTCGACCGTTCGCTCCGAATCAGTTGAAATTCCGAATTACCGATTACCACGGCGGTCTCGCTCAGCGGCGGGGAGTTTGCGTCCGCTCTCGAATCAGGGGATTTCATCCTCGCTGACATTTCAAAGAGGTATTCTTAGTTCGGAGCTATCGAGGCGAACGTGTAACGATAGTATGCGCCGTGTACCGCACGGTGATGTAAGGTTCGACACACATATCGTATACCTGTGACGCGCTCGTTACACGTTACGTCATCCGACAACGACTTCTCCTTTCCCGTGGCTCAGGACCGCGTTTGGGGGGTCGATACGCCGTCCGGTGATGTACCGATACATTTTTCAGAATCATCAATTTGCCAATTCGGAGGGACTCGAGAAGCGGGATACGCGCGAGTGCTACCTCCTCGGAAAATTTATCCGGACGCTCCGACGCGCTCCAACGAGAGAAATCCGGCCTCCGGAATACTCCGAATGGGTGCGTCAGCTTAATTGTCCGCGATTCTCTTCTCCGGAGACTGGCATCTCTCGGATGCACTCTGAAAACAGCGACTTGTTATTGCAAAAACGCCGCTAGGCGGAAAACACAAGCCAGTCAAGGAAAACGTGTCTCGATACCCGTGCGGAGTATTCATCCGCCTGCCTGCCTACGCTCCCTCTCTCTCTCTCACAACGCCTACGAGAAACGTCATCCTAACGGAAATTCCGCTAATTGGGGAACGCTCGGATTACCGGATAACCTGAGAATGTTTAATACGCTTTTTCACGACACACGCCTCTCGCCGGGCGTGCTGATTACATTGGACAGGTGCAACGCGTTGCATCCCGAAAAGGACACGATCTCGCAGCGTGCAGCATGCTCAAATGTGCTGAACGCTCTAATGCGGGAAACTTTTTTTTATTTATAACACCTTCGTCCTCAAGTTAGAACGGATCCTGCGAGGGGTGAGATGAGATATTACGCAATGCACGTCTTGATCACGATCCCTGTTCGAAACTTTGGTTAAACGTTTGATTTTACAACACAATAGGAGCTGAGACAGCAAAGTACGTCCATACATATACACAATTTTAATGATATAATTTTGACCACGATGAAATGTCTTAACCCTACGATACTAACGTGCGTCTCCGAGACGTAGGTATTTTTTTTTTACGAATCCCCTCTCTCCTCTGTTTCTCAACACGCCAATTTCGAATTTGTTTTATATTTTGAAAAAATATATACATATATATCACGCACATTGAAAGGTTTCTAAGTTTCCCTTTTTTTAATCGCTACACGTCTTCGTGACTCGGGATTAGGAGCAGAGCCGGAATAGAGAATAAAGGGTTAGTTTTCTACGGAGAGAAAAAAGCTTTCTCTGCATTTAGTACAATTAAACATACGAAAAGAGAAATTAACGGATGTGATAGGTAAGTTTTTGTCATTCTTACAGGTCATCTAAATAGGCGCGATCTTACCTTAAAAGTATCAAAGTCGCGCGGGATATCTTGAAAACTCGGACGTGCCACGGAGTGCGGCTGTCCCGCATTATCGCCGCGCATACGCGCGTAATTCGTCGTCGAACGGACAGTTTGAGAGCTTTCCGTGTTTCGCGGGGAAATCCGAACTGGACGCGGGGGAGACGCGCGGGGCCACTCCTCGCGGTTCTTTTCCCTCGGCCCGCTTTGCTTTATCGACGGGATTTCGGCGAGGTGGGACGTCGTCAAATTTCGCCCACGTCGCGGTGTTTTTGATTAAACATCGGAAAATGAATCATCGCGCGTTCCACCTTGAAGTCGCGCGGTTATACTGCGTATATTATGTTTGCGTTGTTGGTAGACTCGTGATTATCTCCTTATGTGCTTTATGATAAAACGAAATAAGATAAATCGATCGCGTTCCTCATTTCTGCGCGCGCGCGCGCGCGCGTGTGTGTGTGTGTGCTTGCGTGCGTGCTTGCGTGCGATTGCGAATGCCAGCGTTGCCTCTCCCGCTAATCGCTCCGGAATATCGGATGGCAAAACGATGTAGCGGTCGAGTATGTGCGGAAATGTAAATGCGCGGTTAGAAACGAGGCTCGCGTCGCGAGCGTGGCCGAAGCGGTGACTCGGCACAATGAACCGATCACAAGTCGGCGGAAAGAAAGAGGGAGAGAGAGAGAACGACGGGGAGAGAACGATCGCTGTGCGTGCGTGTCGTTCGAGCCGTGTGCGTGGAAAAATACAAGAGAGCGATGAGAGAACGCGCGCGTGCGCGATGTAATAAAACGCGATCGTGTGCGCGAGCATCCGAGAGAATGAAACGTGCACACACACACATCACGAGCTACATCAAAGTCGCGCATCATATAGTTACATCAAAGCTCCTATTTCTTACTCTCTCTCTCTCTCTCTCTCTCGTTCTCTCGCTCGAAAATCGTGACGTAGCCCGCGCGGGCAAACGTGTGACCTAAATCGGACCATCCCCATTAGAGGCGGCCGGATATCGAATAACGATACGGAACAGGATAATGTGAAGTACAGCCTGCGAGGATTAGTCCAGCTCGATTAACGGTTAAGCCTTCGCCTTGGCGCACAGTGTGTAACTCTTGAAAACATCGAGCCGTTTAACGCAACGCGTGTCGTTTCGTGTACCTCTAAACGTCGTAAACGTCGCAAACGAGAGTCGTTAAACACGTCTCTCCGCGCCGCTTCCGTCGCTCCACGGGACGCAAGTTGTCGCTTCGAAATTTCCAAGCGTTTTAATTCGCCCTTTCGTCCCGGGCCTTCGTCCTCCTTCTTTCTCCCTTTTCGCTCTTCGCTCCGGGAAATTCGCACTCCCCATCTCGTCGCGCTACCGACGAGTTCGATATTAATGAAAAGAGGATCGATATCGGGAACTCGCGAAGAATTCCGCGCGCAAAAATTGCACAGGGACGATGGAGCTCTCCGTTGGAGCGGTTCGGCGGTTGAATCGGTCCTCGGGGAGGGCGAAACCCAATCGACGTTCGGATGCCAAATGTGCAGAGCCGAAAATGCATGACCTACATTATCGATATGCGACCTCCGGCGCGATAGATATGACGCGTGACCCCATCGATAGTTCGCGCGCGGCGCGAACGAGCGCGAAACGAGCATCGATCGCGTGCGTGATTTTAAAGCGCGACTTAAAGCGCGCGCGACTCGAGCAGGGCACGTAAACGCGGCGAGCCGAATACTTCATGGAAATCGAGTTAATGCGGATTTAAACACGTGAGGCGAAAGATCGCAATCGAACCGCGGCAACCGCACGGCCGCCGACCGTTGCCGCGTCCTCAGGGTTGCAAAATGCCTCACTCGAGGGACTCGTTCAAGATTCAGAGGTTAATGCGATCCTTTTATCGACGGACTGTCAGCCGGCAGGGATTGAAAAATCACGTGTCCTTCATTGTTAAAGCCCGGCGTACCTGGGCGACTGAATGAAACATCCACCCAGTCCGGAGTCGCGAAATTAACTGCGAACGACATCGCGGATTTCGCCGAGGGTTGGCGGAATTCCAGGTTTTTCGGATAAAGTCCGGACGCACAGGTGGCGAGAAAGCATTATTTTGCCGGGGAAAAGCCGGCAAAAATTGATACTTTCTATTGAAAATACGATAAAATGATCAAATGGTGTGCTTTTTCAGGTCTTTCCTCGAAAAAATCTGTATTCTGCCGCCGATATAAGCATTACCCAAACTGTATCACATGGAGGTTACGCGGTTAAACTTACACGTGTGTGTGTCACAGCGGAAAAACTCGGTTCGTCACCCCCGCGATATTTAATGACTCCAAACTTTCTCTGCTGACACACACACACACACACACACACACACACACACACACACACACACACACACAGCAGAGATAGTTTCGAGTCATTAAATATTACAGGAGTGATGAACCGTGGGATCCTTATCTTTGTTGTGACACACGCACACACCTTCACACCACGCAAATCGAATATCTCGTGGCTTAGACCGCTTACGAAGTACAATTTCTATTGGCAACATCGATTAATCAACAGTCATCACGATGCATGAATATTCGGATGTAACGCGCCTGATTGAAAATTTTCATTGTCATTATGACTAAAGAGGTGGGACTGCGTGCAATGGAGCCTCCTATTCTGCTGTTTCCGTTCGCGGCAGCGGTGGAAACCCCAACGGACTTCTGAATATTCATCCGTTTCGCAACGGAACGCCCGCCGTGTCAGTAGGCGACGGTGAAAATAATTGGCGCCTACATTATTTCCTCATTTCCGGTACCCGACAAGGCGCGCGCGATTTCCGACACATTCTTTAGTCGCGCTCGTCCATTCATTCAACCGAAGTTACATGTGACGGCGCGACCTTGACACGATTAACTGTCAGAGCTCACCGCAAATTAAATTAAGTCGAACGTGACTGTTGATTTGACGAGTGTCCCCCCCTTTCTCTCTTTCTCTTTCCGTATGTATATGTATCGTTATCGCCCGTTTCTTCATAGATTATAGATTAGCCGTCGTTCATCGCATTATCGCCAAGCTGGAGTGTTCAAGTCGCCGACAAGGCAGGTGTATGTGAGGGTATTAGGATTTAGATATTAGGTGGAGATGGGCGCGAAAACGTTGAATGTGCGAGACATGTGGCTAGAAAGGGAGAGAGAGAGAGAGAGGGAGAGCGACGCGAATTATCGACGTGCGGGTCTTGCGTACCTCTATATCGATGGCACCGAGCGACGTGCGCGATCAAGGTCGCCGCGCACCGTGCCGCGCCGTACACCTCACTTCACGGGAAGTCGACTGAGCATCGACTTCTCGACCTTCCGTAATGAGAGAGAGAGGCACCGCGAGCGCCGTCAACAGATCTATACGCGTTTAGACGGCGTATCTCTGCGCCGCTTGTACGGCTTTTCCCCGATGCGCGAGCGTTATCGCCGTTAGCCTCGATAATTCTTCGACGGGCGAGCCACGATCGTCGTCGTCATCGTCGCCCAACGAATCGACGCTGTGTGAAGAGAGACACAGAGAGAGAGAGAGAGAGAGTCTCACCCTGAAGAAAGAACTTCCGGAGGGACCGATCTCTCGTGCACGACGCGCTGCGCAATCGGTCAGCTTCGCGGAACCCAAGCTCCGGAAGATCGCGTGGGCGAACGAAGGTGGAAAACACACACGGCGTGATTCTCGACTCTCTCTCTCTTTCTCTCTCTACCGGAGATTCCGAGTTCTCGCGCGAAAACTCATGCACAGACGCGAAACAACTCACCGTTGTCGCGACCTTTCCTGTGTTGTCCTGTGTTTTAATAACGTCTCGTAATCCGGCTTACGTAGCGTGTAATCGCTTATAGCCCTCCGATAAGCGCGCGCGTATCACAACAACGAGTCTGGTAATCTTAATTACGTGTCATTTCGACACACACATAATAATAACGCGACTGGCAGTGTAGTTGTATCCTCGTCTCGGATATCTTAGACACGCGATCGGCGGGCCGCTCGCTAATAAGCGAGAATGCACTCGACTCGAGGCGAGAAAGGGAGGAGAGAGAACGGAGCTGTCAAATGCGCGTCTCTCTCTCTCTCTCTTTCTCCTGTTGCGCGGCGCGACTGAGCGCGCGTACGCTGTCAATTGCCCGCCAAAATCGCGTCACTAGGACGAAGCAGAAGAGGAGGAGGAGGACTTGTTCGCTCTTGAGTTCGCGCGAGGAACCTGCCTCCGGTGCGAGACGACGTGGACCTGCGAGTCACTCGTTCTCTCTCTCTCTCTCTCTCACCTTCGGGTCGTCCGCCTGCCGTCGGACCGTCGCGAGGATTCAGCGCGGAAGCAGGTCACAGCCCCGGTAGTGACGACTGACCGGCAATACGCCTTCCGCACAGGCAGGTCGGTTCTCGGCGTGTTCCCGCGAAGGATGCCACCAGGGAGGAAGCGTCGGTCGCGACAGGCCGGAGGAACGGGCGTCTTCTGGCACAAGCGCGCGCGCGCGACTCCTTGCTGCGAGCCGTTGCGCTCGAGAGCGGGGAACGTCGTCAGCTTAGCTCCGCTGCCAACGAGCTGCTCTGGTGAGCGCGACGCCGAGTGAAAACTCGCCACGACCGCCGTCCGTACCGTCGCATTCGTGCGCGAACGCTGACTGACTCCCAACGCGCGCGCGACGGCCTTCGTCGGAGCGATCGGTACGTGGCCGGCGGCAGTGCGGCACATGAGCGCGCGCGCACGCGAGCGAGTTACAGCCGTCTTCCGCGCGTCTCGCGGAATCGTCGGCGAGAAAGGGAGAACAGGAGGAAGGAGAAGAGCTCTTGTCGTCGAATACGCGAACGACGCGAATTTCGCCGAGGAAATTTCCTCGATTCCTCGTCTCTCTCTCTCTCTCTCGAAACGTCGGCCGAAATCCGAGAGAGGCGCCAGTAGCGACGTCTTCGGGTACGCTCCTCTTAGGAAAGACTAGACCTAGGCTTACTCTCCGATCGTCGTATTCCTGCGGCCACTTCTTGCCTGCAATAAGTTGCCGATAATATATCCGACGCTTCGACAGAGATTTCGGAGACGAAATGGACCTCCCCCCGTGTCGGAGACTTCTCGGCGGCGCCGACTTATCCGCGGCACTATGTACCTAAGTCCGGTACATGAGGTATACTGCTTTATCCATGGTGAACTGGCTTGCCGACGCGACAGCCGTTCGTTCTCGTTCGGCTTCGTTGTTTGAAATAAATGCTTCTCCACGCACATCGCTCTTTGAGAAATGATTTCGTTGGAAATATTTAATTGCACGTAGTTACTTCAAATTTCATTTCCCAGATGTTCTTCGCGCGTGATTCTTCACTAGAGAAATATTTATTCTTTCCTCTCTTCAGTTTTATAATTTTGTAAATATAATTCTCGCGAGAATGGCAAACATTTGGCTTAGGTATGTCTGTGATATCGACACTTCGGAAATTTGGAAAAGAGGGGAAATATTGCAATTTGAAATATCTGCTTGACGCAAAACTTAAAACTAAGAATTTCCTACTACACCTAATGCGAGGATAGTTTGACAAATTCGGTGAATTTCCATGAGATGGCGCCACAATTCATAAAGCGACATCACCGCTGGCGAGTATTATTCCTCGAGCGACTTTTCTCAGAATTTCAGCCAAATGTGTAGTTAACGTTCGACGGCCATCTAAATAGACCGCTTTCGCATTTGCCGCAACAATGAGTTTGAAAGAAATGAGTCTCGTCGCCGGCATAAAACATTTGACGAAGTTAACGGGGCGCGCAGATCAAAGCCGAGTTGGATGACGCTCATGGGAACTCTGCACCAGTGCTGAGGACTGTTTATTTTTGGATAGGTGAGTTTAAACGTACATGCATCGAGGATGAATCGGACGCCAATTGAGGTCACCATATTATCAGCATTAACATAATTTTAAAAGTAATAATAAATTATTATTATTATTATTACACGTCTCATATAATGCATGAGATAATATATTTAACAGATAAAACGTACATTCACTTTTTACGACAATGCTCGATCGATCGGTCGGTGCACCGGTGATTTCTCCCGGGAAGCTTTCCTCGCGTGAATTTATTTTCTCGCGGTCGGCGGGACTTCCTGCGTCGAGAAATGCGCGCGGAAGTCGGCGGCGCGTCTGCGCGAGAACTCGAGGATACGTCGTCGGTGGCTTCGCGCAAGCGGTCTTTCGAAATTATATTTTTAGAGCCGCGAGTTGCTGCCCGCTAAAGACGACGGTAGTCAAGTGTCGTCGTTGACCCTCGACAGAAATCGAACCCACGAATTTCCACGACCTTCCGAACGGCCACTGGTGAGCGACTTTTACTTGGACCGTCCCGAACCATCCCGAGACGTCGTCCACGTGACTGTAGTTCTCGTGTAAAAACACGGAAGTTCCATCGGTTCGCTTGCCAAATGGTAACGCGCAGTCTGTTGTTCGACAACATCGAGGCCTTATTTGCTCAAATCCTCCCGCGAGGGTATTGTGCATGCATCGCGCTTCTTTCCGCGGTCTGATGAACGACTATCTCTTACTTTCGCGTAGCGATCGAAGGCTCGAGTCAAACGTAACGTCTCTCTCCGCACCGTCGATCGTGTGTTCCCTTTATTCCTCGCTCGATTTTCACGTCAGCGTCTGATCCGGATCAAACCGGCTGCTAAAAATACAATCTGACACAACACACGGCCGAGGGAACTTTTCTCGCGGCTACCCGACGCCTAAATACCGTCGACGTGTTTCGCTTTGACAGAGCTTTGAAATACGAACGAACGAATCGGCCCGTCCGTGGTCGTTTGCGCGGAGATTATCGGAGCATCCGTGTACTTGTCACTCCGGTAAGTGGAGAATTGAAACAATGGGTGCGACGAGTAGTAGCAGCAGTGGCAGCAACGACACGCGATCGTCCACTTTGATCTTCACGGGCGAACACGAGGCGGAAACGTCTTCGTGTCTCAAAGACTCTCACCTCACGAGCGACAACGGGAGACAAAGAACGCGTGTTGCAACGGGCATCCACGACGGGGAGGCTGAGCTGCGAACGCAGGTATATTGCTAATAAAAACGTATGAAAACGTGTTGAAAAAAGAGAGGAAGAGAAAGAGGCAAAGTGACACGAATTTTGCACTGGAAAAAAAAATATCTCGAAGATAAAACATGGTTATTATATGGGTGTTGATGACAGGTTTATTTAAATTCAAATTCTCACATTTAAACAGAGCAAAAAATTACTTTTAAAACAATTTTTTATTTGAGAAAAAATATTTTTCAGTGAAAAAAAAAATATATATATATATATATTAGTATAAATAGAAAAAAAGCACCAAAAGTCACATAGGTATAGTAAGCCGACTTATTATCGATTATTTTACACTGGTATTTTTATACGTAGAATGAACAGAAGAATCAATTTGTTGTTATTGTATAAAATTCAGTTTCGTCCGTTCTACCTGCACACTACGGATCCCGAAAAAGGTTTCAGATACCCTGTATGTGTGTCGTAAAATGTTTAAAGTTCTAAAAAATACACCAGTTTGATTTGGACGTTTACGTGCTATAAGCGTTTATGAGCATAGCGTACACCGTTCATTTCGGAGTCGTAAGCGCTCACAATGTGACTTGTAACGTCATCGTTACGTCACAACTCGTGCTCACAAACGTTTGTCCCATCGAGGTCCAAATTGAACGCACACCAAAAATAACATACGATACATAATAAATAATGTACGAAATAATGCAATTTCAATGCTTTTATTTGACGTTTTTGATCATTTCCTATAAGTATGTCTTGCCATAAGTTGTCGTGTCATTGGTTTATCAGTTTTGGGGCTTAACTTCTAGAGCGTCAACCAGCAAACATTTTAAAAATTAGTTATTTCCAAGGAAATATGTAATAATTTTCATAACACCATCGTATATATTTTGGTAGAGAAATATTGCATCCAGGCGCGCGTAGATTTTAATTTTACACTATCAACAGGGCCTTAGAGCTTGGAGACAAAATGGCATGTCGGTTTCGGTGCATTCTTTTTCCAAATATATCATTAGTACCGCCGGGTAAATAGTTTTTCTCATTTCTTCGATATTTTTCCTTCTAATGCGCCGAATCGAAATCTTATTTGACAATTCAGGGTCTGAGTCCCTACGCGACCCTGAGGACGGATGAATTCTGGGGTCAGAGGATAACAGCGCCGCCGAGCCTGTCGAGCGTGGTACCGCCTGAACGCGAGACTTCAGTGAGCCATCGTTCCTTTTCTGTTGCTTCCTCGCTCATACTTTTTGTTTACTCTCCCGTGTGGTAGCTCGCAGAAGAGCGTGCTCCGCCGCCGACCCGTTTCCGGCGAAACTGGCGAAACGCGTCGTAGGTGTGCTTTTTATTAATCGCCGCGTCGTCATCGTCCTCGCGCGATTTTGTTTGTCTCCGGTTGTAGCCGCGCAACCCGCGCCCGCCTGTCCAAGAGACACATGAGATCGCGGCTAAATTAAACCCGGGCATTGCCATCGCGCCAACGGCTACGTTGTAATTTTTCCGCGACGAAAATGCGCCTTTTGTCCCGCGGCCCCGCTTCTGGTTAGCCGGATCTGGCCGCGCTCCAAATCCGTGATTTCGGAGGAACACGCTGACTCACGGTCACGAAAAGCGTTTTCCACAGTCATCGATCCGCGATCACGTGCTTGGTGGTCCCGCGACGGTTGGTTCGCGCGACGTGTCTTGCGCTTTTGTGCCAGTGCACCGCCGCGAATCGACCAGGCCGGATCATCATTCCGCCGCGAGAGCGCCGGGAGATTGCCCCCTCCCCCCGTAGAAGAGCAGTAAGCTTCATTAATCGCTTCATCAATTTCAAGCCCGAGGAAGAAATAGCGAAACTTGCAAAAATTCCCCCTGTTCTCTTTCCGTTCTCTTTCTCCGCGGCATCAATGACGATTCACTTTGACGTGTCACTCGCTTAAATTCGAATCGCTTCGTGCCATCTGCGAGTGGAGTATTCTTTTAGATTCTCGACGAATCCGAGAGAACGCAGCGATCAGGATCAATGATCGTCGTTACTGTCGCACCTTCGGGGAATAAAAGTATCCCAGGTTCTATCTCGTGCTCGTGACACAATCCATCCGCTCTCGTTCACCGCGCTTCCCCGACGGAAATCGACGGTCTGCATCACGGCACCACTTATTTATGTTGCAGTTAACGTATGCCGCGCAGATGACAGGTTGGCAGCCCGTCGATGGTCACGGTCCCCCGATGTATCAGCAGAACAACGAAGTAATGGAGCTGACGCGAGTGATTTCGCAGCTGGCCATGGCCAATCATCAATTAGCCAGCGCGCACAATGCGACGTTGGCGCGTATGGAGGCTTTGTACATCGAACTGTCGAAGGAGCGGGAGTACCGGAAGCGCGCGTTCTTCACGGATACCGGGTGCGAGGGCACTCCGCCGAGGAAGAGGCTGCAGGACGAGCCGGAAGAGGATGACGTCGGGAGACCGAGAGACGCGCGAAGACTGGAGCAGCGCGTCGTCAGGCTGGAGGGTCTGCTGTCGGCGACGAGTTTCGCGCGACAGCGCGACAGACAGAGGGACGAGGAGGACGACAAATCGCGCGTCGAGAGAATCGACGGTTCCGCGAGAACGAGGGAGAGTGCGAAAGACGACGAGCGTCTGCGGCCGGAGGAACGAACGAGGCGCGTCCACGAGCGAGACGCGATCGGCGAATCGCTCGATGATTGCGACGAGGTTCGAGGCCCGCCGGCGAGGGAGGGGACGGACGCTCGTAGGTGTTGCGGCGCTTATCCCGACAATGCCGGGACTATTCCTAGAACAGACGAAAGCAGACGTTCCGCGAGCGTAGATTTAGACAGACTGCGCAGAAGACGCGCGAGATCGAGAGGCGACGAGCTGGACCCGTCGGCGACGACGGGCGAGGAAATATTCAGGTTGTCGGGGGAGATCGAGGGACTGACGGCCGATCGATCGGACTGCCAGGCCGCGAACCAGAGGCTGCTGAGCAGTCTGACCGATCAGAAGAACTTGGCGGAGAAATTGAGCGGGGATTACGAGGTATTACCGAACTCGGTATTGCTTTCTTCTGCTTTATTGACTTTTGTTTATTTATCTAACAAACGGGGAAGCGAATATTCCCCCTTGGAGAAATAATGTGCGAGTGATTATATTTGTGAGAAAACGCATAAGGATAGAAAATAATAATAGGGCGAAATAATAATGAAAGATAAGAATGTCTTGAATGCCGAACCTTGAACCTGTCGTGAAATTTTAAAGCAGCTGTTGCAAAATCAACGGACGCTCTCGCGTATCGACGACGCGTTCTAAGGGGAAACTCTTCCCGTTCCTCTTTTTGTTTAGGAACTGAAAGCACGTTACGCCATGCTCGAGGCTAATTTGCACGATCACAGACAGCGGTACGACGAACTGACGAAGCACCTGGACTCCGGCAAGAGCGAGATCAGGAGATTGCTGGGAGAAATCGACAGTTTACAGTCGCAGAAGGACGTCGCGAATGCGAGGATCGCGCTTTTGGAGCGGGACTTGCAGCAATCGTTGCTCGAGAAGGAGCGGATCGTGAAGGAGGAGAATCAGGAAATCTCGAGGCTGCGATCGCAGCTGAACGAGGAGATTATGGACAAGAAGAAGCAGATCGTGGCTCTCGGGGATGCGCTGCGAGAGATTCAAAGACTTAAGGAGACCGTCGAGACTGAGGGGGGAAGCGAGGGGAACGACGAGGCCGCGCAAGAGGAAGAGAACGCCGGTACGCGTTTTTGAGAGCGAAAGAAAACCGTCTAGAGATCGGACACTCTCCGATGGAGGGAATAAAATACCTTCAACGAAGGAGATACAAATTCTTCGTTTCACTTTGTTTCGTTTCTTCTGCTATCCAGCCCAAGCTAGATAGCTACGAGTAATGATTTGTTTGTCCACTGCTTCTAATATAACTACCGGGAGAAATGAGCCTTGCATTCCTGGCTGGCAGGTAGTGCTAACTAGATAGCGATGTAAAGCGCAACTTTTCTGTGTCATGACGGGACAATTAACAGGTTCAGTTTTTACTCGGGTATATAATTGCAATCTGGACTCTCCTTTGTTTCATTTCCTATCGATTGCGCGCCGCACGCCGCCGCCAGCCTTCAAATAATACGTTTACCTTGGTTCATATTTTCTGCTATCCTGAACTTAACGTTTCGAATTTTTTCATTCAGTTAGTGGGAGGATATTCCTAAGGAGTCGCGCTATTCAAAAATAGAAAAAAAAATTGAAAATCGATTTTTTCGAGATTTCAAACCTTCCTATCCCTCCTCCCTCTCCTCTTAAAGCTCGGTTGGAACAAATAAGAACGATTGAACGAGCAGAAACCTCCTGCAGAAACCTTCCTCCGAGCGAAAGACGTCTGGTTCCGGCGGAACAACGGAAAATTCAGTCACGAGATTGCTTTTTTCCGCGTAGAAGACGCACCAGGGAGCACGTCGGGCGCGCATGGCAGCATGGAGGAATTCAAGAAGGAGATCACCCTGAAGAGGGAAGCCAGGCAGAGGGCTATCGCGGCAGTTTCGTCGGAGATGGAGCGGCTCAGGCGCGAACTGGACGCCGAGAAGGCGGCTCATTCCGAAACGTCGGGCATGTTGGCTCTGTTGCGCTCCGCTCAGGATGGCTCGCCGAGCATCGAACCCGCGACGAAAGAGCCCGATGAGCGGGGACGCTCGGACGACGGGGGCGAGAGGGCGTTGAGATGCGCGGAAGTGCAGTGGCTGACGAACACCTTGAAGGTACTCGTGTGTGATTCGCGCGAAATTTCGCGTAGAATGGAGAGCGTGCGAGCGTTCCACATTTCAGGTCTCCGACGAGCTGCGGAATGACATACGATACCAAATCGAGAAGGTGGATGACCTTCGCTACCACCTGGAGTCGAATCCGGAGCGCCACCGTCATCGCATTCGCGCTCTGACGGAAGCGACCAGCAGAACGCGCGAGGCTTTGAGAGCGCGCGAACGTCAAACGAACGAGCTGAAGGACCACCTCGCTCAGCTCCTCGTCAGGCTGGGCAATCAGAGGTACCTGGAGGCGAGGGACGACACGGAATGCGGACGGCAGCTGGAGAGCGTCAATGCGCTCAAGGCTCTCTACAACGAGAGGCTGAAGGTTTTGACCGAGTTGACGGACACCGCGGTCAAAGAGCTGACGGACTCGAGGCAGAAGCTAGACCATTCCCTGAAGAAGTCCGAGAATCTGGAGGAGGAGCTGAAGAAGGCCGAGGAGAAGGTATGGGAGTGACATGAGTTTCAATGGGAATTACGTGCCGATCGTTCTCGCGAGACTCACGAAGCGTTTTCACACGACGTCAGGTCGACACTCAAGCCTCGGAGATCACGAACCTGGAGTCCCAGTTGGGACTGACCAAAGCGGACTGCAGGGACCTGCAGAATCAGATGTCCCTCATTAATGGACTCTTCACCCAGATGTTGCTCGGCGCTTCTTCCGCGGACATGGATCTCGATCGGTTGACTCAGCTGCTGCAGGTATCGCGAGTGTTGAATCACTGTCTGCGATCATTTCAGGGTTGGAAAGTTGCTTTTGAAAAGTCACTCGTTGAAAAAAGTTATCGTTAATTAGTTAGAAAAAATCATTAATCGCAACCCTGTTCACAACCAGTAGACAAGATTGATATTTGTATTTTTTTCTCTTTTTTTTTTCTTTCGTCACGAGGAGAAACTGAGCGCAAATTGTGTTGTTCGTAACACTGCAGGAGAATCACGACCTCATCAGCGACATAGCCAGGGAGGAGAGCACCGAGGCAGCGGCATTGCCGAAGCTCCTGCTGGACTTGGTCGAGCAAGTCGAGGGTGGGAAAGCGTCGCAGAGACAGGCGGCCGCCGGGGAGGGCAGCGCTGAGGGTAACAGCGAGGTTGACCGGAAGGAAGACGATCTGCAGGAGGAAGATATCGCTCACAACTTGCCGAAGGTTAATGCGTCACTCGGTTGACCTCGGCGAAATCTTGGCGCGCCGTCTTGAAATACCGGCTCGGTTAAAGCGGAAAACTCGAGTGAACGGTTACACGTCTCATTCATTAGAGTTTAGCGCTCGGCTTTATTGAGACAATTGCAAAATTATATCGTAGGTGTGGCGGGTCTTGTTGGAGCTGCTTAGCTGTCACGCGGTGACCTCTCCGAGCGTTTCCGTAGCCTCCTGTTCGGACCCGAACAGCTGTTACAAGTCTGTGGACACTCCGGCCGGGCCGAGGCTAGTGATATCCGTCAGCAAAACGTACATCCGACTGAAGGAGCTAATCCTCGAGAAGAAACACTTGGAGAAGGAGATGAATCGCATGAAGCAGCTGAACACTCATCTGGAGAGCAAGTTGGGCGAGCAGGTAAGCGACGCGAGATTCAAACGCGAGAAGGGGAATCAACGCGCGACGGAGATGCCGAGATTTCTCTCTCATTCGTTCGTTTTCTTTCTTTCCTGCGCGTTACCCAGGAGAAGAGATTGTCCATGGTGTCGGCCGAGTTGACGAAGACGTGGAACATCGTCGGCCGCATGCAAGCCCAGCATCAGCAGTTGCACACGCACGAGGAGATATTGAGGTACGAGCTGCAGCAGAAGAGGAAGATGTTGCAGGAGCTGAAGCAGGAGCTGGAGTACTGCAGGGAGAAGTGGGAATCGGCCAGGCAGAAGAACACGAACACCGAACTGGAATGGAGGAACTTGCGCCGCGAGTTCGCCGCGCGGAAGGCTGCGGCTGCCCGCGATTCCTTCAATAGGTATGAAACGTACATGGTTTCCCATGTAAATGTATCAGATTTTCCAGACCCTGCGGTTTTCACTTCATCCAAATATTCTCCGAGCAATTTGGGGACAATTTTTCCTCGTCGAAAATGTTGAGGAAGGTCTAACATTTAATTGCCCATTCAGTTCCATCCGGAGTTTAATTTGCAAAAAGCCGACGTTTTAACTAGAAGAAAACATTAATTCCAAATCGCTCGGAGAACCTTCAAAGTGATATTGAAGTCGTGGGACACCCTGTATAACCACGAGTTTCGCCGTTTAATATGGAAAATGTTCGAAAATTGCTGATCGTTCCAGCGCCGAGAGCGGCTTCAGCGACGAGAGAGGCGACGATACCGACGAGGAGGAAAAGGCGGTCGAAGGAAGGATCAGGCACGGGCCGCGCAGGCGAACGCGAAAGGTGCGTCTCTCGAAATCGCCCACGCAAATCCCGGTTAATTGTTTGCCACTGAAAAAATTACTATTGCAATTCAATATAACGTAGGAGAGTCTCAGAGCGCCGACACCGGATACGGAATCCGAGCAGCCGACGGATACCGAGTTGTCCGAGTCGAAGACTGGTTCCTCGGCGACTTTGGAACAGCGCACGCCCACACCGGAGACCGAGGTGGACGAGATCGAAGTAGTGGATGTCGAAACTGCGAGCGCAGCGGAGGTAATTAGACGAGACCGCGATCGACGCTACGCTTGAAAAGTTGACCGGCAAAATATCGACTTCTTTCTGCAAAGTTCACGTTGTACTGGCTGCTGTAGAATTCGAATTATTTAGGGTGTCCTTGACGATATATGCGTCGGAATTGGTACCAAAAAATTCCTGAGACCTTTTTGTTAATAATCTTTTAACAAACAATGAGCGAGACGGCTGAAAGTAACTCAGAAGGATATCCTTGACAAAATATGTCAAGGTCATCGAAGCCCTATTGTCGACATTTGCTCATTGAAAATGCCTAATCAGATGCTTTCATTTTCGGATTCGCTCACCAAGTCAATCTCGGCGTCTCCTTAAATCTCCCATTTCACAAACAGTCGATTCGTTTCCAGCAGAATATCGCAGAGAGCACTCAGGAGACTTTGAATCCCTTGGACGAGGCGCTCACCAACGTCATCGAGAATCTCATCATAGTCGACGACGGGGAAGAATCGAGCGGAAACGACTCGCGGGAGGACTCGACGGTCCCCGAAGACGGCTGCGACGGGGACGACGCGAGTCGCGCCGCAGCCACGGAATCTTCGTGTTCGTCGCCCGTCCCGAAGGCACTGAGACGAGCGAATAACGGTCTGCCCTCGGCGGAGGACTCGACCGAGTCGATCGATTCGACGAGCCGGCGCGACGGTGAGACAATCAAATCCGAAAGTATCCCGTCATCATCGCCCGTTTCTCGTGTACTCACCGCGGCTACCACGAGCGGCGGCACGATGCCTGTTTTCTCCATCGGACCCTTCCCCGCACCCACCGTGTCTATAAAGAGCGTGCAGTTCAGCAACCCGTTGGTCGTAGGGCCGTCTAATCGTTTCTTTGCCCCAGTGTTCGGCGCGGCGGAACTGGGAGATCCGATGGGCGACCTCGCCGCCGCGCCGGTCGATCGATCGCCCTCGAATCGAAGCGGAGAGCCGTCGGAGGGCAAGCGATCCGCCAGATTGACGGAGAACGTCACGGACTCCGACAGTGTTTCCGTGGACTCCTCGTCGAGTCTGGACACGGTCCGGGAATTTCCCACGGCCGATCCCTCGCCGGTCAAGGAAGAGCCGCAGGCGGACGCGTCGTCGAGCTCGCAGAGGAAGGAAGTCACCTCGACTAAATCCCGGACTCCGGAGGAGGTGCTGGCGGCGCGGGCCGATCGGCTGAAACGCTTGGAGGAGCAGGCCGATTGGCTGGTGAAGAAAATGAACGCCACCAGCAGACGAGGGTCCGCTCTTTGCACCAGACTGGAGGAACTTCACGACGCTTACGGCGAGCCGCCGGTCCCGCCGCCCATGCCGGACGTTTTGCCCGGCCTTAGGCTGCCCTCCAGCCTGCCTGATCTACCTCGTCAGGTGAGAGCGAGATAATTAGTCTAGGGAGTTGCGACGAATTGCCGGAAACGGCTCGGGTAACGGCGGTAAATGGGTCTGCTTTCTGCATCGGCTGTGACCGACTCGGCTCTCTTTCCCTCTCTTTCCCATCGAATCGCGAATCGGAAAAGATGAGAAGAAAACTAATGCGAGCTAGTGCAGCCAGGAATCGAAACAAGCCCGGTGATTGCGAGACGCCTTGACTTAAATCAGGCCTGTGAGACGTAACGTCCCGCATTACACACGTTTAAAGGAAGGTGTATGAAACTAACCGGCGACAATCAAAAGCAGCTTTCGTTGTCCCTTTTCCCCCGTATCGGCAAGTAATCGAAACTTTCATTCTCGATCTCGCCCGCAGATATCGGAGTCGTTGTCTACCGACGGCACCCGGACCGAAGGCCAGAACGCGGAGAACGAGCCACCGGCGCCGTGACGCGCTCGTAACTTTCGACCCGCAAGGACCCTGCCATTTCAGTCGACGTTTTGTTTCAGCCGCTCGACGAGAAGCGGAACTGCAGCGAGAGACGTGTGTGTCCATGTTCGTCTCGCAAATGTTTGTCCTCGCGCGCCAACGAGTCATTTTATCCGATTACGCGCGTCGCACGTGATCCCGTGTATCATTCTTCCTTCTCGATGTATCCTTCCGACCTCCATCCTCCAACGTCGAACGAAGAATTCTTGCCATTAAAGTCGAGAAGAGGGATGGAAAGTGTGCGAAGTGCCGGTCACACACGAAACGTATCTCTCCTCTCTCGTTTATTATTCCCGAAATGGAAATTCATGTGATCTACCTGTCCGTTCCTGTTTTGTACCTTGTATGTGTATAATTGAATAAAAAGAAACATCCGGAAAAAAAGGCATTTACAACATGACGAGCGATTTTCTTTCACACGTCGCTTCGATCGTTTCGGGACAGACGACGAACGACTCGACGGCGAGTCCGACGGCTTTTTATAGGACATCACGATCTAACCGGCCAGTCGGAAGAGACCTTCTCGAGCAACACGACCCGGACGACGGGTCGTCACGGATAACATATCGTGCTGTCGAAACACTTTGCGGCCGAGCAAATTGTTCTTCGTGGAGGGAAACGCAAAAACGGTAGATTCGATCTTATCCTCGGAATGATCATTAATAATTTGTCGAGGGTTCTGCGAAACTCGGACATCTTTATTCTGACACGTGTCTGTGCCGTTCATGTCTTATTGTTATATATAATATCTGTACGATAGATATGTATAATATTCACAAGGTTTCTCGCGACTGCGATTGTATAAAATTCCATACAAAAGTTGTTCGTATAACAAAGGAAGAACAGACCGGATGGTTCAGCGCGCCGTTCTTGACGATCACTATTACAAAGGCACTTGGAAATACTTGCGGTACAGCGCCGGCCGATCTCGCGAATCGGCGACGAGATTGTGCGTCAGTGTGTGTGTGTGTGTGTGTGTGTGTATATACATATATCGTAGCATTCTCACTACCTTGAGTCTCTTTACAAAAGTGATCGTTACGAAAGACGTTCCATCTGAAAACACACACACATACGCGCGCACACACACGTACACACGTATACACTTAAATAATTACGTTTGTCCACTCCGCGACGCGCAGTTACACGGCTTTTATCTACACGCTTCTCCGCTTTGCCGTCGATCTTCCTCTCACGAGGAGAGTTTTCATCGAGAGTCACTTCCCGATCTTCACATCCTGCTAATTTCCTTACGTTACACGGAATATAACAGTCGTTTGCGCGCGCCCCTCCTTACCTCTTTCCTTTTTTATCACAGTGTACGCCGGTACACCACTCATCTCGTCGACGACAGCTATAATAAGGAGATAGTATATTGCTATATTGGCACACTTCGCATATAATAAGACCGATGTACAAAAAATATATACTATGTGAGAGGCGTATCTACAATAATTTAAAGTACAGAACTCTGTCTCTCTCTCTCTCTCTCTCTCTCTCTCTCTCTCTCCCGAAAAATATTCGGCGCGCTCGTCGAACGTTCTGCGGATCCGCTGCTATCGTAGACGAGACGCGTAATCTATCGTAAGAAAGAAAGAGACGCAATGTTCCCTGCATATTTCCTCGTTCCGTCGAGACAACGCGGAGCATCGTTTTCGTCACCTTAACGACTACGTCCTAAGTTCTACTACGAGTCGAATCTCCGAGGTACTTAATGTTGTAAGTCGATATTTTCCAGAGTAATAACTTAAGTCAGTGGCATATTCCTGCGCAAAGTGCGCGCTATTCGCTATCAAGGCACTCGCGCGGTGTGTCCTCTCGCATCGTGGCTGTACAGATCTCGCGCAATTTTACGTACGTAAGCGGGGTCACAGTGTCAGAAGAGTATCAGAAGAGACTCTCTTGCCAGCCGAGCGGATCGCGGATACATCTAAAGGTGCGAACACAAAGGAAGCGACTCGCCTGCGCTTACAATCGGCAAGGAAGGGCTGAAACTTCATCCCCGTAAATTTTGCTCGCGCCGATGACACGCACGTCCGAACCTGCTTTTCTTTACTCCCGTGATCTCATTTGATAACACGTGTATATTCTTGACTATCAGGAAAGCTGCTTCCTTTGTGTTCGCACCCCAAGTTCCTAATCAGACTACGGATCGAAGATTGTAATCGGACCAATTAGGTAATTTAAATCTTGCTTCCGATTTATCGGATATCAGTTCGATCGGAACCCTCATTCCGTAGTCTGATACGAGGATGCTTTCGGAAAACACAACACTGTGGTTCGAATTCCTGACTGTCGATTGAGGTATACTTTCAGAGGCGTGATAAATGTAAAAGAACGTCCCAATAGCAGTAAGCGCTCACTCAACCGTAATTAGAAGACACCCAACAACATACACATCAAGTGGGAGAATTCGATCGCAATGACGGACCGGTGTTTCCCGAACGCAGTCCAACGGTCGGTCTTGTCAGTCGATTTCTGTTTTTATCACATTGCGTGGATTTTGTCCCGCAGGCTTTAAAGGCGGGGCTTCATCGTGCGTAACAGGTACGCAACGGTCATTGGATCATCTGCAAGTACCTGTTCTCCTCCAGCAGGGAACTGAGCGAGGACGTCATGTCGTTGACGATCATGTTGGCGCTGGCCGGGAGCGGCTGCGGCAGCGACATCGGATGCGTCGAGCTGGAAACATTCGTCTCGTGGGTCTGCGAGCTGTCGGACCAGTTCCGGCATTGCTGCACGTACTCCAGCGTCCTGCGATAAGAATCCTGCCTCATGCCCTGCGGCAGCTTGATCGACGAGCCCTGCTGCGACTGGCTGATGTCCCTGCACTGTATCTCCGGCAACGGTCCGCCGTGTTGGTCGTGATAGCACTGGTTGCCATACGTCCATTGGCAGTTGCAGCTGTACTGCTGGTGATTCGTGCGCGCTTGACAGTTGTGCGCGCAGGTCTGCGCCGGATGCTGCTGTTGCATCTTGCAGTTGGTCTGTTGGGCGTTGCAGAGCTGCGGCGGCAACGTCCTCTTGGAGACACCGATTTCGTTCAAGACCGCACGGTGCGCGCCGTTCGAGTGAGTGCTGCAGTTGGCGATCTGCAGGCAGGGCGACGCTTGGGTAGCCTGGCAGCTCTGGAGATTCGTCATGATCTGCTTGCCCGGCTGGCTCATCTGGGAGCAGTGCGGCGACATCGGGCCGCACTGGTTCGTCACCGTAGCTTGCATGCCGGACAGCTGACCGTTGGACGTCACCATGGGTCTCACGCACTGACTCGAGGACTGGTTGCTGCACTGCGAATTCGGGTGGGTGATGCCCGACGGTATGGGCGACGGCTGTGCGCAATGGGCTTGCTGGCAGTTGGCGGTCGTCAGTCTCATCTGCACGGCGTGACCCGACGGCGCGCAGGTCTGGCTGGAATGGTGATTCCCGGCCGGGTTGCAGTTAGGGTTGATTTGACCGGCACAGCCCGGGTAGTAAGCGTAATGCGCGTGATTCTGAGGACAGTTCCTCGAGAGCTGAGCGGAGTTCTGCGGCAGGTTCTGCGGCGCGTGCTGCGGCGCCAGGGCGCCCGCCGCGGGGGACGTGAGCGGTTGGTCGCTCAGGTGGGCCGGCGCGTAATTCGAGCTCGGTGACATCACCTGGCCGGAGGCCGGGCTCGTGGCCGGCACGTGGCTGCCGATACCAACTTGGGAGCCGTAATTCGGCGGCGGACAGTACGGCGGCTGGGAGTTGGCGCGCGGACACTGCCCGTACGGCGAAGGGACGGGGTTCTGGTAGCAGGATTGCTGCGCGGCCGGCTGCTGCGACGGATAGCAGTTCTGCTGATGCGACTGATGGTGAGGCTGATTGTAATTGCACAGTGCCGGCTGCATCTGGTAGTGCAGGGAGTTCGTGCAGATCGGCGACTGGCAGATCGGCAGAGGACTGCCGCGATAACTGACCTGGCTACCACCCGCCTGGACCTGCAACGTGGCGATCGTGACTTCGGGGTTGAAGGCTCGAGACGAATTGGAATTGTGAGATTTTCGAAATATGAAGAACCGGACGCTATTTCAATCTGATACGTATTCAATCGATCGTTTTCACTCGCAACGCTCTCCGAAGCTTAGGAGATTGATAACCCTAATATGCGTCGTGAGTGACATTTATTCGTGCGTTTGATTTAGTCGAGCATTGAAGCGATCGGCGGGAATTCACGGTGGAAGGTCAACGAGAAGGAAGTGAAAGAAGAAAATATCGCGAATTACCTGATTTAAATATTGCATCATCTCATCGGGGATGACCAGTTTGTTCTCCACCATTTCGCCCTCACCCACCTCGTCCAGGATCACCTCCTGATTGGGATGGAGCTCAGGCAATTGCGCCGACCTCGGTCTAGGCGGGATCGGAGGAGAGGTTCGTTGGGTCTGATTGGTGCGAGTGGGCTCCGACATTCGTCGGTCACCCGACGGTTGGGTGCAATGCCCGCTCGGACCACCGCTCCAGTCGCCCGGCATCGCTTGAATGTTCTGCGAGTATATACGAGTTGTATAATAGAAAATTGTTCATCGTTCGCATTCCCCCACGATCGCAAGATTCACCTGAAGGGACATGTTCTGCGTCTGGACGACGAGATTGCTCGTCGAGTAGGGCCCTTGGAGGTGACTCGGCGGATTCATCCTGCCGGAAGTGGTGCTCATCTGGCTGCTCCTTCTGGACGTGCCGGTGCTGATCGGGTCGTAGAAACTCCCGGGTCCCGCGGGACCCATCCTGACGGCGCTGATGGTGCTCGCCTGGCTGCTCCTCCTGCTGCCGAAGTCCATCGATCTCATGCTGCCGTAAGAAGTGCTCTCGGTGCTGTTGCTGTCCCTTCGCGGCTCGCTGAGCGGCTGCAACCTCAGCTGCAGGTCCGACAGGCTCGTCTGCCGCGTCTGACCGCCACCCTCCATCTTCAGATCGGTGATCCTTCGATTGAGGTCGCCGATGTTGCCATGGGGCGTGACACCGCGAAGACCCCGGACGTTTCCCACGCCGACCGGCAGACTTGGCACGCCTTTGGCGTTCAGCCGACCTTTCAGACGGTTCCTCGATGTCGGCGGTGGCGCTTGTTGCTGCTGCTGCGACTCCATCCCGCCGACCTAAGCAAACGCGATCGGTTAGTTTAACTGAGAGCATTTTGGAGAAAAAGAGAAAGACAACGGAAGATGCAGATAACGCGTGAAAAGAGACGAGAGAAATGAGAAGAAATCAGTTTCTTCGGACTCACCATTGCGCGTAAAGCTACCGGAAGATCGGCGATATCGAGATCGTCGGGCTCCTCGTTCCACGGCTCCTCAGCGAGAGCGACCCCGTCGCCGGCGAGAGCGCCGACTCCAGCGACTTCGTCGTTGCAACCGCCCACCAACGGGCTACCCTGCTGTTGCATCATGCCGGGTGGACTGTTCGCCTCGCTCTCCGACTTGACGCTGGGGCTCGACAGACTAGGCGTCTTCGGATGAAGATCCTCGCTTCTGCTGGGACTGTGACCACCCGTGCCGGCCTCGTCGCTCCCTCCTCCGTCGCCACCGCCGCCCTTGTGCTTCTTGTTCGCGTAGAATTCCGCCCCGTGTACAGTCTTCACGTGCTTCCTCAGGGACGATGGATCCGTGTACCTCTTGGTGCAACCGGGGGCTTTGCAAACGTACGGTTTCTGGGGAAGGCGGTGCAATAATTAATCAAGCTCTCAGCTGATAATTGTGCACTTGTATAAAGGTGCCGCGCTGCAGTGGTCTTGTTTGATGACAAGCGTGCTCAACATTCTTACGGAATATTTCGAAACAAAGTATATTAAAGGATCACGTCCGTAAAGTGATATTTACGATCGATTGAACACATTTCTAAAATATCCCGAAAACTTTCGTTTCATTCTGATAACAATCGGTAAGTAAAATTGTAAAATTAATGCGACACGCAACCTTCCTTCTTTGCTTGATCCTTTCTCATAATTTGATCGCGTTCATTTTATGGCTATTTATTGGCTGTGGAAGTAAAAAGAAAGTTTCCGGAATATTTTACAAATGCGATCACTAGATTACAACCAAGATGATATTAAGAAGTTGCAAAGACGTCCTTTAGATGATAAAACGCGTCTTTCAGGCGTTTTTTGGACGCACGTGTTGTTCGGGAAGTATCATTTTGCAAATATAACCTTCTACTTTGAAGTATCCCGCAAGAACTTTGAGCATACGTTTACTCGCTTGTGACGTCATTAATCAAGATCGCCTGTAGCGAGAAAAACAGGTGTCTTGATTGGATTCATAGGGTCGGTTCATGCACGAAAGGCTATCGCCGTGATTTATTCGTCCGAAAGTTCGGTAAAATGATATCTAACACAACTTTTGGCTAACAATCGTGCTTGATCGGTTATGAAAAAAGAAAACTGGAGGAAGATTTCTATCAATTACTGGCCCGTGAAATATTATCCAGCACTGGCGTCTTGTCTCGACTTGACCCCACTGAAATATTCTTTCTTTCGTTTCTTGTGTTGCAGAAGCAACAGGACCACACTTACCTCGTTGGAGTGCGTTCTGTTCTGATGCTTCGCTCTATCACTAGCGTTGCTAAAGGCCTTGCTGCAGCCCGGATACTCACAAGTATACGGTTTCTCGCCGGTGTGCGACCTGAGATGAGTCTTCAGATTTTCCAAGCGCGAATAAGCCTTGAAGCACCCCTCGAACTGCGTCCCGACAAGAGAGCGATCGATTAATGGCGTAATGTAAATAATCATGTGATCACACACAATATGTAATCTTGTGTTTAAACGTTAAAATTTCTCTCGTGTTATCAGCTTTTCATTATTACTTCAATGTAAAATTAACACTCAGCTGAAATGTTACGATTTTCCTGACGTTTTCATACTGCTGTATTTATGTCAATTTAATAACAATGTATTACTAATACATTTGTACTTTCTGTGCTTTCTATTATTTTTTTGATACTTTCTTTTTTTTTTTGATAATTGTTCCTATATCTGATCACGTTAGTTTTTAGGACTTAGTTTCTAGAAGCGTCAAACATCATTATTTGCAGAAGTCTCCAAACATCATTATTTGCAAGGAAATTTGTAATAAATAATATTTTCATAGGACTGTCATATATTTTGATAGAGAAGTATTGCTGGTTTGTGTGTATAAATTTTAATTTTACATTTTACATTTAAAATTTTAATTTCTATATACTTTAGAATCCTAAAACAAAATAGTTCGTCGGTTTTGATGCCTTTTCTGTACGCATACCGCTCTGTTATTATGAACGCAAGAAACGTGGCTAGAAATCCGACGAATTTTTGCAACCCTTAATATACATCCGCACGCGTCGGACTGTATCGTGTAATTAATGCGTACAAAAAGCTCTCCGAAACGGGAGATACGAATAAGCATGCTTACGGTACACTTGTGAGGTTTTTCCCCGGTGTGCCTTCTCATGTGCACGACAAGCATGTACTGAGCCTTGAAAGGTTTTTCCTCCCTCGAACATTCCTCCCAGCCGCAAACAAAGCTCTTCTTGTTGGCGTGTATGTGATCGTTGTTGATATGTTTCACGAGATCGTCCTAGTTCGAAGATATACGCGGATTAAGAACGTACAAGAGCACGAGTGCGTCTCTCTCGCCGAAAGATTCGCATGTATCTCGAGATAACTTTCAAACTAATCTGAATCTTGCTTTTCAGCAAGTTCGAGGGGGAAAAAATTTAAGCTCGCTGAACTGAAAATTTCAAGACAGTCGGTTCTCGCAAATACGAGATATCACTTCTTAGCCGTCGGTAATTGCTGCATAGCTCGTTAAACGTAGAAACGAGGGCTGCTCACCTGTGTGGGAAATTCGAGGCCGCAGTCCCTCCAATGACAATTCGTCTCGATGAAGTCGCCAGGCTCGTCTTTGAGGTCCTCGCTCGGACTGAGACCTTGAGGGTGAATCGGTGGTGCGGTGGTCGTGGTCGCGTTGGTGGTCGTCGTCGCCGGTTCTCTTTTGACTTTGGTAGAGGCCCGTCTCGAGGAAGTGTCGGCTTCGGCCGTCACCGAACGGGTCGACGATTCTGACGCTTTCCTACACGATTCTGCGTTCTGCGTACATGTACGTAAAAGAGGATTAAAAAAAAAACAAATACCATCACTCTGCACGTTTTGTGTTACACTGGCGGATGGAGATTCTTCGAAGTTTGATTCTGCTGATACGAAGGCAGTTTGTAAAGTTCACGGTCTAATGTATGGATGTTTATCGCTCTAACTAACCTTTTTACAGAGTTACAGTGTCACATCTACCTTGTGAATAGCTATGAAGTATCAAATCGATCTGTTAAGTATTAGGTCCTTGTAGAAATTCGTATGACATTAAAACCATTTGTATTTGTTAATAACAATGAAATGACATATGTATAATATTTTAATCAAAGCATCGCCCACTGCTGTATCAATAATTTTTCGCCAATTTTTCGAGCAATAGCGTCATCTCACACCGATAAAATCACTCGCCTTTTCAGATAATCCATTCATTGTGAACGCAGTGAATTTCTCATATTGCTTTCATATTTCAGTGGCCCCTTACAAGTAAATAAAAAGGGGGACTGAAATGAGGTCCGGGATGGGAGCCGTGATTCCCCAGTATCGTCGACGGAACGACGATTCGAAAAGTTCCTGGTTGCGTTTGCGCGCACCGACGGCTTGTTAATTGCAACAATCACGTCGGTTCATCGCGGAGCTCAACCTCCTTCGCGTTTTCGCACACGCGATTCCGCAATTATCGCGCGCACAAAGCGATGCGATCGATCGTCGCGGACAGTCGTAAACCGCTTTGTCTCTCTCTCTCTCCCTCTTTAGCAGTGATTTTATCTCTATCTTCTCTCCTTTCGCGTTGCATCGTGTACTCTGATATAGACATAACTCCAAATACCTGTTCGTGCGCACGTGCACGCAGGTTTCTCCGCGTCGGTGCGTCGCGATTTACCGACGATATAGGTTGACGGGCGATAAGCGCGCGCCCGAGTATCACTTGATTTACTCGAAAGCGTGATCGGGGGGGGNGGGGGGGGGACGGAAATCGGAACAGAAATGTGGAGCGTTGCGTTTATCGCGTGAGCACGCATGCGGCACGTGAAATTTCCCGACATATTTCTATCCCCCTCCTGCTCCCTCGCCCCACCGGCGTTTGTGCAACAAATGTCCCGAGAGAAATTCTCGTTTAAGCCTGGTTTAATTAGCGCACGGGCTAAAAGTAACGCACGCCGTGCGCGCCGCGATAAGTTTTATATATATTAACAACGACGTGTCTCCCCGAGTGGATGTCCCGTCCGAGTAATTCCGCCGCGTGCAAACGCGTGACAACCTTGATGTCTCGCCGAGAGAAAGAAAGAGAGAGAGAGAGGGTCCCGGGACACCTCGCGAGCACGTTTACCACGAGACACAAGCGGGACGACAAGCGGCACGAGAGAGCGCGGAGCGAAATGCAAGCCGATGCAAATCACGCCGGGTAAAGTTTACAGCGTGCGGACACACACGGTCGCGGCGTCGCGGGCTAGAAAATGAAAACGCCGCGCGAGCCGGTGAGCGCGCGAATGCAAATAAATCAGAGCGGCTCGCCGCGACGATGGCGACGTGCACGACGAGGAGCGAGAAGGAGAGGAAAGTGGAGGAGGAAGAGATGGTGCGGTGGAGGCGAGGAAGGAAGAAGAATCGGCGCTCGCAGGGGAAAAAATAGAGACGCGTGGGTGGATGGGAGAGAGACGGAGGGCCGGGGAAGGGAATCGGGCGAAATAATGTGCGCGAGATTGCTTGTAACCCGAGGACCCTCTCTCGCGAGAGTAACCCAATCTTTTTCCCCGTCCCCCTCAGCGTCTCTCCCTCTCTCTCTGTCTCCATCGTACCGCCACCGTTACCGTCCCGAGACTAGCCCGAGCAGACGTGCTGGCGAAGAAAAGGCTCGCAGCACGAGGGGAGGGAAGAAGGAAAGGCGGGCCGCGATTATTTATTCTCAATGAATCGATGACGGGCCACCGGGCGTATATCGTTCTCTCGGTTCGCAATAACGATCGAATGGCAACTGCCGTGCGGCCGAGCGGTGAAACCCGCTGTTACTCAGGGTATCGCGCGATATCCATAGATATAAGAGTGAAGAAATGAATTGGATGTTCGGGCGAAAGGGGTTGGAACACGCGCGCGATAAGGGAGGGTCGATGAGGTAAAGTGTGCACATTTTTCATTAGATGTTTTCATTAGACGTATACGTACGTCGCGACATACGTATCGTGCGTAATTGCTAAAGAAATACCATAGAATCGAATGTGAATTTACAATAGGTAAATTTACGATGATTTACAAAATATGAAAATTATAATGAGCCTCTGGTGAGTTCAGTGCCGACTCGTTATCTGCTTTCAGTTTAGAAAAATTAGCAATCTTATCCCTTCTCTTTTCTTCTATATGTATAAATATATGTTCTCGATTTTCGGTTCGAACACACGATTATTTCTGCATTATTTGTCGCATAACTTCTCTTTCTCGACGAATTCTTCGAATGAAACATACTGACACAGGCCGCAACGTGTGCGTGCAAACACGTCCAATCAAAAATCTTGACACTTTACCTTGTCATTCACTCCGCAACCCCCCGCGAACTCGGGCTACATCTCTTTATTCATAAATGTATAACGACCCAGTAAGTAAAAAAATCATTAACACAACGCCATTACAGTGATATTTTATGCAATGTAACGTTTTCACAAATTTAGCTCTCAATGTTGTATACGTCACCGTTAACAATATTTCACCCAAGCATTAAAGATGATATTTCACTCATGATTTTAACATTTAGAAACATTATATATAATCCAATAACAATTTAAAAACATGTGTGAGATATTACGTGAAAGTGTTGATAAAATTCGCGGTAAATTCAACGTTTCGAGAAATTGATTAGTTGTTCCCTCGCTTACTGGGGATACATCGTGCCAACGACCGTAGGATAACGCACGGCGCACGATATCGACGCGATTGCCGCGGGATCTCGGGATAAATCGATCGCACGGTTGTGTCGCGTCACGCTGAAACACAAGGATTTAATTGCGAGCATAACACGGCTCTCGCCATGCGCGACCGGCGGCGGTGTCGAATTGGTCGCGCTGCGTCCCGCGTGGTCGTCATTTCCATCGCCTCTTCCGCCTTTTCTCGCGCCTTACCTCGCTCTTCGGCGGCACCCCGTGAGGGCCGAGGGTCGCCGCCGACGTGGAATGATTCGGCACACCGGGGTACAGTTGCGAGTGCGGCGACAATCCGTGAATGTGCGGCTGAGAATGGGGATGCGGCGGCGGCGGCGGAGGCACCGGCGACTGCAGGGAGTGCGTGTGAGGTAAGAGCGCCGCCGCTGCCACGTTCCTTAATAGGTGAGCCTGCAACTGCTGCAGGTGCGGCGCCATGCCAGGGTGCATGCCTAAAGCCGGACTCATTGCTGCAACAATGCGGAATCAATTAGCCGATTGAGCCGATCGAAATTCCCGAATCTCCCTTCTCGCTCGATGTCCGTCTGCGCGTTTCATAATCGTGGCGTGCGAGGTGTAAAGGTTAAGATATGAGCTACCCCGGTCGAAACGTTGATGCTACTTCAATGCTCTCGAGGACAGCTTGCGCTTACTTAGATGGCCTATATAGATTGACAAAATCTATTTTAACGATATTGCACTCCAGCTCTTCGATGGAACCTTTGATTCGATAGATTTAATTTTAATGTTATCTTGAAGCTATAAATGCTCACGATATTTCGATTGTTGAATTCATATGATTGAATATTCAGAACAATTTATTTTGACGCCAGATAGGGAAATTTGAGATATTGCTATGGTCGAAACGACAGTAAATTATGTCATTAGAATTGAACCTCCTCTGCCATCTTGACTTCTTTCTGTGTTGAAGAATTAAAGGTTTAACATAGGGCTAAAATTTCGACTCGGCAAAATTGACGCGAGTTGACACTTAAATAGGAATTAGCTGTCCATATAATTAAAATTGAATCACCAGACCTAATTTTTAGCTATAATAGCTGAAAACTGGATACAGTCGGTCATAGGATGGCTGCGACAGATTCTTTTTGACATGTTTTGGAATATACAAAAGTTATAAAATACATAAAAATTACGACAAGGCGAATTCCTGATTCACAAACATATGCGGTAATTTAGTTTCATAATTTCTTTCTCCTTGCCGATATACAAAAATTAAGACCGCAACAAAGAAGAAGCTGGGAAAAGAAGTGCTCAGAAGGTTTACCGAAAAACCCCGAATTCTAGATTGAATTTTAACGCCGTCGTAAAATAACTGATTCTGACGCTGAAGGCAAACCTAAAACGGAAATGTACAAAGGAATAAATCGTCCAGTTAGAATTGAAATCGAACTTATTTTACTATCTCAGCTTTCACCGTGTCGTAGAATCCAAGGTTTAGTGCAGGGCCAAACTTTCGAATCGGTTAATTTCGAGATAACGATGGAAACAGGCACTCGGGCGAAGGTGTGCGCTCGAAAGGTACTTGGGTATGCAGGAATATTAAGCGGCCGATAAGAATCCCGGCACCTCGGGCTTTACGTTCGATCGTTCGGATGGCGGCACGACACGAGGATAATCGAATAAACATCGAAATCGGGCCGCTTCGTGTGTACGCTTGCTGCTTCCTCGACAGTCCGAGCACGACACACCGGACTTCCGGCACATAGGCCAAGCTTGCATTTCAATCGCCAGCCTCTCGTGACTGTTACGAAACTGTAAGTAGCCGCGTAGGCAGAAACTATTGTGTGCGCGCGCGGTGTGCCAGGCGGTTGAATCAACCTCTCGTTTCTGTCCGATGTATTATCCGGCATCGAGCGCGCTTTCAGGACAGTTCGTGTCGCGTGTATATTAATGACGTTTGTTATTACGCGTCCATTATTACGTCCGTTATTATCCCTCGTCATCGTAACACCGTTCGAATTGAGAGATCGAATTCGCGGTACGAGCGATCGAGAAATGCGAGAATCGAAGGTAGCCGCGTGGAATTCAATTTGTAGCCGGGCATAACGCGAGAATTTCATATGAGCACAGAGAGACGAGAACGGACAGGAGAAGGACGACGGGAACAGGTGGGGGTGGCTCGCGTAGCAGCTCGCGGTGGCGTCCGAGGCGAATTTAACGAGCGACAACATCCTGCGGGTATCCGACGACGGCGACGCCGACAAACGACCGGCGCGCCACGCCGGCTGAATTTTAATCCGTTAATTACTTCATTTAATCGTAAATTACCGGGCGTTCTTAACTCGTGAGCAAGGAGGTCCCCGCCTATATAATGGCTTCATGCGCGCCCGGTACCTTAATTCGTCGCCGTGCATCGCCTTCGGTCAATCTTTAATGAACGCGGCGCGCCGATGCTAGAACTTCTACCTGCCTGATGTCGCGAGGAGGACATTTTCTGAATTTCATCAAGCGGCATTCCATTCGAGAAGTAGAACGACAGCCGAGTCACTCGAATGATCCTTCACTCGTGTGTAGGGTGAAAAATTCGTCACACTAAGTTGTCGAGCGAAAGTCTTCGTTCGGAACTGAAGAGTGAGCCTGACGCGTCTCACCGTCGCGATAACAGATTCGTCCCAATCGAATTAAAACACTCGTGTAATATCAGAAGCTCCAGCGAAATATTTACTCCTGCGACTTCCCGAGGCGGCAGTATTTTCACCGTCACCTCCGCGGCGAAAATACCGCCGCTTTTCACGTATTTTCATCATTTTATTTCAAATGAGATTCCGACCCCGGAAATTAATCGAGTGATTCGCTGACAATCGCGACAACGTCGGCGAACGGTAGTTACGGTTAACAGCCGGATAATAATTAGTCTCACCGGCAGAGAGGTGTCCGTAGCTGCCGCTGGCACTGCTGCTCCGGGAGCCGTTCACGATCGACGCCAAGCTGTTGGGGCTGAATCGAATCATATTGTCGATGTCGAACCTATCCGAGTACGGTGAACTGCTCAACGCCCTTTTCCGGCTCGCTCGGATCGTCGAAGCTCTCGGGCTTCCTAGTCTCGACGATGCGGATACTGAAAAATCGCAAACAGAAGACGCGTGCTCGTCAGCTCGCGGAGATTTCGAAAGAAGGAACGTTTTCCCTTAACGCTATCGAGCGATGATGTGTCGATTAAACGGTCGTTTCCTTTTGAAGCGAAGCTGATGCTTTCAGCGTCTCGCCGCTAAGGTAGCAGTCGGATGCCTAAGTGAAAAGAAAGCCGGGGACAGAAGGCGCTCCGAAGGTGGAGAAGAGTCGGGTGAGTACGGTCGTAGCCACGTAGGAAGAAAGAGAGAAAGAGATCCCGGGGAGAGACCGGGGGAGGCAGGGGGAGGCCGATCTTGCGGTCTGAACATTTTAGCAGCGATTTGCCTGCGACCGCAGCACAACGACGTAATATACAAACCACTTTCTTAAGACCGTGGTGGCGGCTCGCTTGTATGTACTATCGTTGGTTACATGGTGGCGGTTACGCTCTCCCTCACTCTCTCTCTTTCTCCTTTTCTCTTTCCTCATTCCGACACGACGCCTTTCGCTCTTTCCCTCCACCTCCTTAGATTTCTTGCTCTACCTTCACGGGCAATACCCACGGGATTAACCCACGAATACTCTCTCGTACTCTCTCTCTCTCTCTCTCTCTCTCTCTCTCATACACATATACACACACAAGCAAACACACGTACACTTTCTCTCTCTCTTCCTCCACATTGGTACTCCTGTTTCTTTCCTCGCTCGTTCTTTCCACCTTATACACCTCTGTCTATCTTCCCTTCTTTCCTTCTCGTGCCTCGCCTGCCCCTATCCGAGCAGCAACGCGATACACAGAAGACGAGAAGAGCGAGTCTACCCTTCTCCTCGATTTCCACTCGGTTGATCGCTCGTTCGCGTACAACGGGTATAAAGTTACTCGCGGTTGGAGTTCTGCTCTTCTCTTTTTGGCGAAACCCACTCCTCCGCGTCGGAGCCGCGCCACGCCGCGCGAACGACTCCGCTTTGTCCCCTTCGTCGGTTATTAATTCAGTCAATGATCAAATTTACAGTGGTCGGCCGGACCGAAAACCAACCGCTCGTGGCACTGCCGCCGTGCGGTTTTTCCGCACGATGTGAGACGATCGCATGTTCAATGAGCGATTCATCGATTCATGCTGCGCGCTCGCTTCCCCCGCGGGCTGCCGCCCGATAAACTCGGCGCTTCTCACTATGATAGATCTTTACTTTAAGACGGCCGAGAGGATGCTGGAACTTGAAAACTTTGCCGATTAAATACCGACTCTTCCTGCAAAGTTTATGTCATTACTGGCTGCACAGAATTATATGTACCTCTACACGGTGAAAATAATCACGAGAATGAATTGGAGCAATTAATGTTTAATGTGTGAGAAAAGAACGATTTGAAATTTCGAAATTGACATCTCCAGCTGTCGGGGAAATTCTAAAGAATATTTTGTACCTTTTCGCTTAAATTAGAGGTCTCGAGAGTCACGATAAGTTTGTTGAAACATTTCCATATATCTCGGCTGGATTTTTCGTTAGATATCCCAAAAGTGTGGTCGATTATTACGTAACATAATATCTATTTTGAGAATCGCCTCTTGATGACGTACTCGACCGAACGAAAATACTCGCTCGACGATTCGAGAGTGGAGACATTCTGTATGAGTAAAAAGTAACTCGATTTCGAGCGACCCGGTTCGCCACTTCCTGAGTGAGATTTCCCTCCGAGAAACTTAGAAAGGGTACAAAGAGATTTGCAGGAGGAGCGAGATGCGCGAATCGCTTAGGTTCCTTCGGCGATCGGTTATCTCCACCACCGAGAACCAAAGGGTTGGTCGCCCATCGTGCCGGGTCGCGTCGCGTCGCGCAATCCTCGCTCACTTTAATGAATATGCGAACGGATCCTCGTTTCTTTTGCCCCCTCCCCCTCCCCCCCCGCTCTCCTCCTCGTGCGCGAACAGAAATCGGGGCCGTGTTTCCCCCTGCGAGAGACCCTATGGTTCCCAACACGCCCGATAAGTCTTCAGCTCTCTTCTCTTCTCTCGCGTGCACGGGTCGAACATAGAATTGAGACATGTAAATTGGTGCAATCGTCCACTCCGATCGGCGTGGCTCCGCCGATGCTACCACGCCGGGCATGCCGAGACGCTACAGCGCTTTTCAAGCGGCCTCTCCCGCCAAAATACTTCGAATCGGAGATTAATCGCTCCGAGCGATTCTCGCACGTTTGGTAAATATTTCCAGACAATTCGATACTTTATGCAACGTATCGATCGTTTTACTTCATGAGTAGCTCGCGTGAAGATGAATCTTCGATGTTTGGAGCGCCTGTCGATTTCAGTGTCAAGGTAACTTGGGGAGAAAATTCTAGTATTCGACATCTTCGTCATATTTCTGCTAATCGTTATAACAACTTCTAAACGTATCCATACACGCACACACACACACACGTGCAGCGCAAAGAGATCGAGTCGTACGGAAAGAACGAACGGTGCTGGAAGGGGAAATGTGAGGCAACCTGTAGGGTAGGCGTTAAGGTGTTAATGAGGTCGTGTCGCTCCGAGTCGATTCAATTATGCGGCGGTGGCGGCTAACGAGACCCCGTTTACCCTTTCGATCGTCTTTTAGCCTCTCGGCCTTCTAACCGGTCGATCTCCTACCTGCCGGTAGTGCCACTACATCTACGGTTAGCTTGGCACACATAACTCAGACGCGCGCGTACACGTCAGCGCGGACCGTAGACGTTAATAGAAGAATACATACGCCGGATCGAGAATCGGCCACTTACCATCGATGGGGAATGGGAACTCGGACGACGTAAGGGTGCTGGCGGGACCTGCCGCATGCAGGAGGTACTCGGGCCCCAAACCACCCAGTCCTGAAAATGCAAGGATTCGGTTACCGATCGGCCTTAAATCCAACTAATATAAGCTCCGGAGACCGGTTAGAGCAATACAGTTCCTTAATACAGACTCTGGACAATCTGTAGTTTTGAAACCAAATGTAGTAGTTATCATTTGTTTCTCTAGATACTCATATCATAAATACGATTATATTCGTCACTTTTACCGTTATTTTGCACACATGAAATACATACGGATATAAAACCAGCCAAAGCGAGTCCTAAAAGAAGGTCCTCAAAACTCAGTGAAATTGTAACCACGCATAGCGCGATGCATAGTTCTCGACGTTCATTTTTATACACGGTAACAAACAAAAGAGTTAGCGGTCTAATTGTTGTGTAAATGTTTGTGAGCGTAGATAATTCGTTCGTTGGTTCAGTCGACCAGTCATCCGATTGCTCGGGGAGGACCGATTTGGGAAAAAGATACCGTTCCGCTCGAGAGGCAAGTGGAGCGTGTTACCAACGCGACGCGGATCACGCGCGACGGATCGAATTCAGAGAGCTCTCGTGCGCTCACTGGAATAGAGCGAGCGATAGAGAGAGAGAGAGAAAGAAACTTCCGGCGGAAATGCGGGGCCGCCTTTTACAGGCTCCGGCGCCATGTACAGGGCGTACCCGAGCGGGGATCCATACGAACATGCTTCTATTTGCTCCACGTCCCGGATAGTTACCGTGTAACGAGGCGTTGGGACTGTGCGTGGAGGCCTGGAGCTGGTGGTAAAGGTGGTCCATGTAGTTGAGCCGATAGGCAGGATGCAGGGCCGTATGCTCCGAGAGGGGATGACTTCTGCGCAGGAAATCACCGCCGGAAGTCCCGTTGCCGGCGGCACCACCCCCTCCGCCGGCGCCGCCACCACCGCCGGCGCCACCGCCGCCGCCGCCCCCTCCGCCACCGCTACCGTTACCGGTCGCTCCGATCACGGTCGTGCTACCGGGCAATCTGGAAGGAGAAGCGAAAACGTACGCGTGAAACTGCCGTTGATGTCGACCCGGGAACAGACGTGATCTGTATAACGATTAATAATTACATCAATATTTATTTATTTGTTTTTCCGAACGAAGAATGAGCTGCGACAAATTCGGCGATGGCGCGAGATAACGTGCCGACAGAGACCACGAGAATCGACGTAGCCAATTTGCTTAAGCAACCCACCATCATCATCGTTGTCGTCGTCATAACGTAAGTCCCATTAACGAAACGTATTTCTGGTAAGACGTTTATGATTTACAGCGAGGAGGGCTATGAAGAAAAGCATTCTCGTTTGACTGATGAAATTACGACGCGCGTCGTGTGCGCCAACAAATGGCGCGTGTCTCTTCGTCAAAGCTCCTATTCGCGTCGCTTCTTGACGCGGACAGGTGTCTTCCATCAATGGCGCGCTCGTATGATCAAAGTGTAACTTCGTGCCGCTGGATAGGATAATCGCGGTTTTTGTTTGTCGCCCCCTACCCGACGTCACACATACACACACACACATGCACAATACGCGCGCTCGTTTCTACGAGGAAAAGAACTCCCGGGGGACGAGGAAACGAGCCGTCGTGAGGGCGAAAGTGAGAGAGCGGTACTTCTCTCGTTTTGAATGATGGCGATTCGCCACGCTCGGAACATTTAGAAACGACGCGTGTCCGGCATCTTCAAAGATGTCGTCCTCTTCCCTGCTCGTTTAACTTCCTCCGTCCGTTAACGGGTGTCTTGTGCGCGGACGAACTAGCGCCGCTTTCAGGACATCTTTCGAACATCTTCCGAGGGCAAGCGCTCTTACGTATCGCAAACCGAGTTCTGAAAATGTTTATCTCAGGACTTTATTTACCCGTCACGATTACTCGCGCGATTTCGCGTCGGCTTACGTAAAATATCTCGCAAATCACACAAACGTAAAATAACGTTGCAGCCACCTGCCGCGGTAACCTTCGCGAGAGCTGTTTTATTATATTCCCTACGTTCTTCCCGGGCTGATCGCTCGCCCATTTTATCATACGGTCGCTCTCGTCTCACGATGATGAACTCTCGAACGGCAAGCGGTGAGGCCGTGCCGATATCCTGTATTTGTTAGAGTAGAAATTCTGGGTTTATCAAAGTATACAAATTTCATCCGGCCTGTATTAATTAGCTATTAGCTTTCGACTTAGGCCAGCTAATCACAGCACTGCTCGGACAGTTCTCAATCGCCGTTCATACGAGCACCATCGCTCCACGTGTGCCACGAGTTCAAACAACGCGGCTTTAAACCTGATCGTATCGTCCCGTCTATCCCGAATGTTCAATTACACCTGCAAGTACACGTGAAACTTTTCGCTCGTAACAGGACGCGCCTTCTTGTCTCGTTCGCGCCGAACGTTAGCGACGTTAGACGAAAAAACGCGCTCATCGAGCGAGGTCATCGGCTATGCGCGGAGCGGCGTTAAAACGCAGCGTTTACAGTACTTATTTCTTAATAGCATCATTGTCGGCTCTTCTGTGAGGCTAATAAAAACACGCCGCCGGCGCGACGTTGATGCTCGGAGGATTCACGATCGGCGTCAGGTGGCCCGAGATCTTGATTGGATCCCAGGATTGTCGGATGATCGCGCACGGCACGACGACGGCCGAAGGCCGAACGGTTACTCCTCGAGGTCGCTGGGTAATAGAATTTCCCCTGTCGATCGAACCTCCCGCACGGAGGCCGACGGAGAACGAAAAGGGAGAGTGTCGATTTTGTAAAACGGCCGGTTGATCAAAGTGTTTAATTAAGCGGCATTGATTAAGGCGCATCGCGAATGACAAAGTAAACAGGCAGTGGCCGCCGCGAACGTGGGACAGAGAGGAGCGATTGGCACGTGGCGTTTTAAGGCGGATTACGATGTTTGAGCCGGTCGCTGTCTAAATATTGGCTCCGCGCTTCCACGAGTTTGCTGAGCAAAGACAACCGGGTCGGCTGTTTGACTTTGCTCAGTGTCCACGGATTTTGATTACTGCCTGTTGCTCGGCCACCGAAGCCGCTTCTCTACGGTAGTCGGGCCTCGTGTTTAAAACGTTTGTCGCGATACTCGTTGACAGCTCGTTGACGAATCTCTCAATCCTCCGCGTTCCTTGTCGTACGCTCTCTCCTGTCCCGTCGGCGAGGTCGAACGAGACGTATTCCGGAAATTTCTCGGGGCAGAATCTCACTCGAAAAGCTCGCTCGAAAAGAACGGGGGAGTCGTTCGAATGAACTTTCCCTGAAATTCCCGAGTAAATTCTCCGCGCTGAATCGCCGGGCGAATATTTTCGCTCGCGAAACTGAGAAAGTAAATCCGACGGTATTCCATCAAGGTCGAGGGAACAAATTAGTTTAATTAATACCGATCGATTGAAGTATTCGCTCGTATACGAGTTCATAGAGTCCATTCTGTGCTTGAGTGAAAATACCGCCACTTTCCAGCTAGCTTCGGGTGACAATTCGGATGAGAAAATTTCGAGAGTAAGAGGTCCGTCGTCACCGTCGGTTTAAATGGCGAAATTGCGGGCGAGGGCGCAGCGTCACCGACTACGCTACGCGGTTAATTTTGGTATTCTTCCGCACGAAGATGCGGAGATCCTCTATGAGCCCGATCCGGGCGAATGATTACCGCCATTAGCGGCGTAATCTCGCCCTTTCGCCGAGGCAAAAATTAGAACGCCTTGACAGGCTGCTTAGTAGCGGGTCCCGTAAAAACGTTGGCTGAGAGAATCGGGTAGGGACCGGGGACATCGTTACAATGAAAACATCGACTCCGCCGGGCTTCGGAGGCACGCTCGTGTCCTTCGTTTTTTCTTTTCGCGCCGGGAGAGAAATGGCCGAAAAAGAGAGACGGAGCCCGAGAACTCTCTCGGCCGCAACGGGCAAAAGAAGAAGACGCAAACGGGAGAGAGAGAGAGTGAGAAGGAGAGAACAAGCTGCGTCTATTTCCAATCCTGCTGACTGCCAGATGACTCGAAGTATGGTTCTGCCTCTGGCTGCTGTCCTTCCTTCCTTTTCTACTGTTTTCCTCCTCCCTTCGCAGTCTCCGCGCCTTAAGCGCTTGTCATACTTCGCGACTTTTTCAGAACGCCCGTCTCGAGAACAACACCGGCGACACCGTTCCGTGGGGTGCGAATGTTACTTTCTTCCGCGATGAACGAGTAGTCGTCGAATTCACGCCGATTATCGCGACGATCGGCGAAATTTGCAATTGGCCAAAGCGTTTCCTCGGCTCGCCCGATGCTCAGGCAGGGGAAAACACACATCTGGCGCGAAACAAGCTTTACTCTTTCCTTCCTCCCTTTTCGCGCCTCCTCGGTATCCCCCCTTGCTTTCGTTCTTCTTTGTCTCTGTCTGAGGCCGATCCTCTCGAAATTCGGGCTCTCCGTCGCGCGCGCGCATGGCCGATCCTTCTTTCGGTCGTTACAAGCCGCGCAGCCTTCCGTCCCCCTTCGAAGCACCGGCAGATAAAACTCGAGTTAACTCTACACGCCGGAAACCGACGCATCTATCTTTATCTACGACCCGTCCCTCTCACGGGGGAAGCCAAGAGTCTTCTTGAAATTCTTACGACCGCCGCTCGCTCGACTGTACTCGGCTTGATGCTCGACGTCGTCGAATCTTAATTATTCCCGATTGGACATTTCACTCGAAGCTTCCTCCCGCAGGATCTCCCCGTTGAAACGGAGCCGCGATTTCTCGCGGATTTTTTCGCGTAGAGCGCGCAAAAAATTCGCCTGCCGAAATTTCGCCTGCGATATTTCAGCGATCGCGCCGACGGACCCGCGCGACGTTCCGGTCGGTTTAATCTCGGGCGGTAGGAGCAGCGGGGAGGTGGAGGGACGACGAAACCGGGTGAAGAATTAAGGTTCGCAAGCTCATTAACGTGACTCGTGGTAATGAGGCGAGCTAAGCGGTGCCCGGGAACATCTGCCCGGTTTCCCCGTTGCCTCGTAACTCGAAAAAGAAAGATGGAAAGTACGACGAAAAGGAGCTCATGTTGATACGACGAGGAGGAGGACGAAACCGGGCGAAAGGATGCGGCTTAAACACGAGCCGATCAGCCTGACGTGGAAAGGCGAGAGATTTGGTCTCCGCCAAATTTTATCCTTCTCTACGTCGGATATGCGAGTCGACGTAAGATGACTCTTTATAATTTGCCGAACAAAGAGAGAGAGAGAGAGAGAGAGAGAGTAAAATCCCGTGACTCGTCAGAACCGATACGCGCTAATGAGAGACTCAATGTCGATCGATCCTTGACGATCCTAACGCTGGAATTCATCTAGTAAACTTGGCTGATACTTGGTTAATACTCGCATTATCGATCGCAGAAGCGGTTCGATTATTTCATTATCTCGCGTTATCGCGGAAAAACGGCGCGAGAGGTCAATTCCGCACCTAGAAGTTGAGAGTTCGCGATAGTTTTTACGACGAGGTCTTAACTTTTGATATTTATCACCGTGCCTTACCGAAGACGCTGTCGCGGGGACGATAAGAAGACGGAAGGAAACCATATGGCGGACGTTGCGTACGACAGCGTGTGGCACGTGCTTCAAATGCGACCGCGAACCGGGCAGAGAAGGCGGGAAGGAAAGAAGCCGTCTGAAAGAAAGCAGCAACCGAGCGTTTTCCCAAAATATTAACTAAACGTTCTACTGCACTTCGCTTCGCCGCGATCGTTGTTGCAAACAACAATTTATACTATACTTTCCTTTGTTCCTCACTTTAAGCATATTTTTATGGTTGTGGTTTTAGTGCGGGTTTTTTGTTCAGATCGAGCTTATTTAATATTATTTACATTGTAAGTTGCAATCACACTTCGGTATAGATGTATTCTCAAAATTTCTCGAGACGGAATCCCATCGAAAATACGTGAGAGTCGCGATATTCTCGTTCAAAGCGGAAAATACCGCCGCTCGAAGTTGCAAAATGTATTCCTGCGACGATGGTAAATAAATACATCGGATTCACCCTTTAA